GACATATTTTGTAGCTATGATCTTATTTTATTATTATTATTATTATTTATAAATCCTGGGATGACATGTATACTATGTATTGATATAGGAAAGGACGATAGCGTCTTTAGTTGACGCCGGGTTCGGGTAAGGACCTGGTTAGCGATTTGGACCATTGGGTTCGGGACATTACAAATAAGGACAAAGTACAGAAAACCCCCATCGACTTGTAACCTTTTTCAATAAACCCCCCGTTTAATTTTTTACCAAAGAACCCCCCTCGACTATCTAAGGGGGTAAAAAAGTTGATATTTGGACCAAAATGCCTTTTTATTTAAATCTTAATTTTTCCAAACTTTAAAAATTCATAACTCACAAACGATACATCCAAATATTGCAAATAATATATCCACGAAAAGCTTATAAAACATTGATTCCAGAAATATAATTTTTGTTTAACAAAACTTCATAACCAGAGAGAAATAAACAATCTAAAAATGTAACGATCCAAACAGATACCAAAATAATAATAATAATAATATATAAAATTTCGGTATGACCTCCGCAGAAAAAATTCCTCTACAACCTGTTGAAATAAACAAAAATGTAATGATCTCACTTGGCCTTAAAACTAATCTATCATGTTCCAACGCACAATACAAACATTATACCACATTCCCAAAATGATTACATACATATAAAAAGGTCTCGTTCCTCCATCTCATCCAAACAAGGAACACACTTTAATTACATCAAGTTATAGTCCAACAAATATAGCTAAAATTTAGAAGTCCATAACTTACAACATTATACTAATTAAACTAAAGTTTCACAAAATAGTTAAAATTACATTTGTTTCTATAACATCCACTGTTACAATACTCTACAAGCTACACTTGGTCATTACAAGAGAATATGGTTCATGTTTCTACACAAAAGACCGCAAAATGACAATCCTGATCCAATCTAGATTTGTGGTGGATTGTCGTCCGCCACTTCTTTTCTTAAACCTGAAAAATGTTAACATAATGGAGTGAGCTAAACGCTCAGTTTCTTATGACCCAGTGAATCCACGCAAAGAATAGGTAAAACATAAGCGAGATCATGCCGTAGGGAATACACATCAATAACACCACAACAAGCATATAAATAAATATCATCAAATCTCAATTACACCAAATATGCTAATGAAATGCAATGTCATGTCAATGTCACTCCCCCATTTTCCAAAACAATTCATTTTTGACGTTCCAAACCGTTAATGCAATCCGGCCCATAGCACAACGCCACGAGAGGAGGGTTGGCTAGCTTTCCCCGACCACATGGCACCTCCGTGGCATCGTTTGGGCCTAGGTAGCTCAACCACACTAGAGTCTCTCTCTAACTCCCTCTAAATCACATTAACACCACGTACCACTAGGCGCCTCCTAGGCATCCGGGTTTTCGCAAACTCTTTATCAAAACTTTTTTCCAAAACTTTTTTCTTTCATTTCAAAACAATTTTCCCATTTTCCTTGCCTAATTTTATGCATGAATGTCTCATATATTTCAATGCCGTGCAATTAGAGAAATCCATGCCCATCAAGTTAAAATTCAACAATATACATGCTTTGTAATAAAATAAAAATTTTAAAATATATTTCATGCTTTCTAATCACAAAATTTAGCACTAAAGACACAATGGGCATAAATTAACATCAATTAAGCATGTTTCACCTTCAAATACCAAATAACACACAATCACATATTTTATATAAAACATTAAAGTAACTTTACAAGAGATCTATACAAATTGAGCATGTTTTAACACAAATTAAGGAGAATAATCCAAAAAAATCAAATAAAATGTGAATTAGAAACCCCAACCTCAAAATTGAAGAAAAACCCTAAAATCCCAAATTTCAAACCCTAATTTCAAAATCCCAAAGCTTGGCAAAATGGTGCTTGGCTCCTATTAAATCGACGGCCTCGACGAGCTTTACAACTTTGCCTAGGAAGTGCTATCAAATTCCAAAGGGATAAAGCTAGATCAAGCCTTGAATGGTGGAGTAAAAAAAAAACACATAACAGAGAGAGAGAATAGAAACTGTCGAGAGCGAGAATGTAAGGGTCTGTTGATGACCCTCAAGTCTTATATGATGATAAGTAATAATGTGGGTCCCAAGGCTTTAAAATAAATTCAGTTAACATTTATATATATATATATATATATATATATATATATATATATATAAACATCACATTCTCCCCAACTTTAAAAGATTTCGTCTCCGAAATCAAGCCATACCTGAGGGAGAAAACAACTCTGGATACTTGGAGCGAACCTCCTATTCGAGCTCCCAAGTAGCCTCCTCAACTTTGTGATGCCTCCAAAGAACCTTTACTAACGGTATCGTCTTGTTCCTCAACACTTTTTGTCGTGTGTCAAGGATCTGAACTGGTACCTCCTCGTAGGAAACATCCTCATCAATATCAACCTCAACCCAACTCAAAACTTGAGGTGGATCCGGCTCGTACTTCCATAGAATCGATACATGGAAAATATTATGGACCCTCCATCTGTGGTGGCAACGCTAGTCTGTAGGCAACCTCTCCTACACGATCCAAGATCTCAAAAGATCCAATGAATCGTAACGACAACTTGCCACTCTTCTTGAACCTTATCAACCCCTTCCGTGGAGAAACCCGAAGAAAAACGTGGTCTCCCACCTCAAAGGATAGTGGTCGTCTCCACATATCCGCATAACTTTTCTTTCGGCTCTGAGCTATGAGTAACCTCTGTCTGATCAACTTAATCTTCTCAGTAGTCTCAAGTACAATGTCGGGTCTTAAGGCGACTGTCTCGCCCACCTCAGTCCAACAAATAGGAGACTTATAAGGTCTGTCATACAACGCCTCAAATGGAGCCATCTGAATACTCACTTGATAACTGTTGTTGTAGGCAAAATCAATAAGTGGAAGGTGATCCTCCCAACTACCTCCCAAATCAAGAACACAGGCCCGAAACATATCCTCCAAGATCTGGATGGTACGCTCCAATTGGCCATCCGTCTGTGGATGGAATGCTATACTAAAGTGCAGCGATGGGCCAAACGCTATGTGAAGTCCCTCCCAGAACTTCGAAGTGAACTTAGCATCCTTATCTGAAACAATAGATATTGGAACTCCGTGCAGCCTCACAATTTCCTTCACATACAGCACACCAAGTGTTTCTGGGTCATTTGTTGCCTTAATAGGCAAGAAGTGAGTCGTCTTGGTCAATTTATCAATAATGACCCATACGGCCTCATTTCCCCTCCGTGACCTAGGAAGACCTGTCACAAAATTCATGGTAATCTGCTCTCATTTCCACTGCGCTATTGATAATGGCTGCAATAAACTAGCTGGTCTCTGATACTCGGCCTTCACCTACTAACAGGTAAGGCATCTATCCACAAACTGTGCAACGTTTTTCTTCATCCCACTCCACCACTACTAACGTCTCAGATTGTGATACATCTTGGTACCACCCGGGTGAACTGCAAAGCGGGAGGTGTGAAACTCCCGTAAGACGTTCTCACGACAAACTGTGGGGACAACCAACAAACCCATAAGACCTCTATCTGCATATAAGGTCCAATCTTTTACTGTCTCACCACCAGAAATCAGAGTGTGAATAGCATCCAAATCCGGATCCTGTCTCTATGACTCAATCACTCATCTGACAAGAGTGGGCTGAGCCACGAGACTAAACAAAAATGTTGATTCACTGCCAACATCATCATCAAAACAATACAATCCCATCTCTGCCAAATCTTTAAGCATCTTCCATTTCTGAATGACTTACCCGGCCAAAGTCCTACGAGATTTTCGGCTTAAAGCATCAGCTACCACATTTGCCTTGCCAGGATTAAAGTTGTAGTCTTCTAAGAACTCAACCCATCACCTCTGTCTGTTGTTCAAGTCCTTTTGGGAGAAAAGGTACTTGAGACTCTTGTGGTCCAAAAACACCTCAAATCTCTCGCCATACAAAAAGGGTCTCCAACACTTCAAAACAAACACGACTGCCGCTAACTCCAAGTCATGAGTAGGGTAATTAAGCTCGTGAGTCTTCAACTGTCGAGACCCGTAAGCCACTATTTTACCATCCTACATCAACACACAACCTAAACCATCACGTGATGCGTCGTAATAAATCACATAACCCAAACCACGCTCGAGTATTACCAATACTGGAGCCGTAGTCAACCTTGTTTTCAACTCTTAAAAGGATGGCTCACAGGCCTCATTCCATGTAAACTTGATCCCTTTCCGGGTCAATTTGGTCATAGGAGCTACCAAACGGGAAAAATCCTTCCTAAATCTCCGATAATAACCCGCTAGGCCAAGGAAACTCCGGATCTCAAAAACATTCTTAGGTTGCTTCCAATTCAGAACTGCTTCAATCTTCGATGGATCAACTGACACTCCACCTTCCGAGACAACATGTCCCAAAAACTTCACCTCTTGTAGCCAAAATTCACTTTTTCATATTTGGCGTACAAACGATGCTCTCGTAAAATCTACAACACTATACTCAAATTGACCTCGTGCTCCTCTCGAGTACATGAATACACAAGAAAGTCATCCACGAAAATTACCACAAACTGGTCCAAATAATCATGAAAAACGCGATTTATTAGGTCCATAAATGCTGTTGGTGCATTAGTCAAACCAAAGGGCATAACAAGGAACTCATAATGTCTATAACGTGTACGGAAAGTTGTCTTTGGGATATCCTCATCCCTAACCCGTAACTGATAATAACTTGACCTCAAGTCAATTTTCGAGAAATAACTGGCTCCCTTCAACTGATCAAACAAATCATCTATCATTGGCAAAGGATATTTGTTCTTAATGGTAGCATAATTCAACTTCCGGTAATCAATGCATAACCTCAAAGAACCATCCTTCTTCTTAGCAAACAAGATCGGTGCGCCCCACGGTGACACACTCGGTCGGATAAAGCCTTTCACTCTCAAATCATCAAGTTGCTTATTTAATTATTCTAATTCAATCGGTGTCATACGATACGATGCCATAGAGATTGGCGCGGTACCAGGTATCAAATCAATGGCAAACTCCACCTCTCGGTGTGGAGGCAACTTTGTCAAGTCCTCCGGAAATACATCCAGAAAATCACGTACAACCACTGGATAATCAACTCTACAATACTCAACATCATCATTGGCTAAGAGGCTCGCCAAAAAGAACCCCTGACGATCCCGACCTCTAACACCATAAAAAGAAGGAATAAAAGAATCACACCGATCTCCCACAAAACAAAAACAATCCCTATCTAGGGTACACACTGACACTCTACCCCTAAAACAATCAATAACAGCTCTGAAGGACGACAACCAGTCCATCCCAAGAATGACGTCAAACCCTGTCATCTCGAGAATGATGAGATTGAACTCAAGTACCTGTCCGGCAATGGTAATAGAACAACCCCAACAAACTCGACCAAGAATGACTGAACCCCCAATAGGCGTGTCAACATAAAGCGGTCTGTCTAACTGACTGACCTCCAACCCCAATGCCCGTGTAAATGATGAAGCGATGAATGAATAGGAAGCACCAGAATCAAACAACACTCTAGCCTAAGAACGAGATACAAGGAATATAACCCTGACAACTGAAGGACTGGATGATGGCTCAGCTAGAGTGACTGTAAAAACACGACCCCGGGTCCTGTGCCCCTAAGAACCACCTGTCTAATAACCCAACTGCTGAGTGGGTGCATTCGAAGAAGCCCCTCTGCCCGGTGGAGAACTCTGAGCTGTCATAGCTGGCTGAGGTGGTGGTGGCGATTGAAACCCTGACTAAACTGTGGCAGACTGCATCTGTCTCTGCTGTAAACCTCCACCTGTACCTGAACCACCGCCCCACTGTGGACAATCCTTCACCCTATGGCCCTACTGGCCACACCCAAAACATCCACCTAACACTGCTTGAACCTGAGTGCACTGGGTCTTATGGTGCCCCAATTGCCCACATCTGAAGCAAGTCACCTTAGTCTGAGTGCACTGTGTAATGTCCCGGTTGTCCGCATCTGAAACAAGTAACATTCGGTCTAGAAGACCCCATAGACACTGAAGTTGTGGGTACGGATCTGGCTGACTGTTGTCCCTTAAACCCTGACAGTTCATTCTTCTGCTTCTTATGTGATTGACCCTCGGAGATAGCATTCATGTTCCTATTGTGCTTATAGGAATCTCTGATAGCTTTGCTGTCCTTGCTTTCAGCCTCAACCACTAAGGCTTTTCACACTGCTTTTGCATACTCTGTCCGTTCTGAGGCAGCCACAATTGGCCTGATGGTAAGATCAAGGCCATCAACAAATTTCTCTATCTTTCCTTCCTCATCATCAACAATCCCAGGTGCAAACCTCAAAACCTACGTAAACTTGTTCTCGTACTCAGTGATAGTCATATTTCCCTACTTCAACCCATCAAACTCTTTCTTTAACTCTCTTCGCTTAGCTGCCAGAAAGTACTTCTCATAATACAACTTCTTGAATGTATCATAGGTCATTGTGTCCGGATTGTGGGTGTGAGAAACGGTCTTCCACCAACTCTCAGCTTCTCCAACAAAATTATAAGTTGTCAATGTAATCTTCAACTTGTCCATCGCCAAATTCATGGCGTTAAGATGCTTCTCTACCCTATCCATGAAACTATCCGCAACAAGCGGATCTGAACCGCCCTCAAACAAAATCGGCATCAACTTCACAAACTTTGTAATGTGATAAAGAATATCATCTGACTCATTTGTCTTTGGAAGTAGTGCTGGTAGTGCCAGCGGTGGCACAACCTGTGACGATGATGCCACTGCAGTCTGAAACACATCATGAAAAAATCGTCTGCACTGCCAACTTAAGCTGCTCCTTACTTATTTGAAGAGGTGGATAAATGGTCCCCATCGCTTGTCCCCCTCTTGGTGGGACCAAATCACACAACAAGACAACTTCTTCAACTTGGTCCCGATCCTTTTCTACAGGATTGGAGCTAGAACTTTCCCCGGGATCCCTTCATGGTGGCATGACGCTATAAAAAAAAGGAAATGGGCCAAAAACGATGACACTAAAACACGTCCGAAAATGAGTCCTCACATGAATGACTTGACAAGAATAGAAACACATAAACACCTTCCATACTCCCGGAATACCAACTAATGATAAACATGATCATGATAATAATATACATCAACTTTAAACACTTAACACGTAAGCACATAAGCTATTAAACAATTAGACATGTTTTTTAAACAATTAAACACCTTAACATATAAGCATATAAACATGCTATTCAACTTCCCATGCAATCCTAGGTAGGCCTCTACCAGTCGTCATAATGGTATTCGAACCATTGCTCTGATATCAAATTTATAACGACCCAAAGAGATACAAAAATAATAATAATAATAATAATAATAATAATAATAAAATTTATAAAATTTCAGCATGACCTCCGCAGAAAAAAGTCCATCTACAACCTGTTGAAATACATAAAAATACAATGGCCTCACTTGGTCTTAAAACTAATCTATCATGTCCCAACGCACAATACAAACATTATACCACATTTCCAAAATGATTACATACATATAAAAAGGTCCCGTTCCTCCATCTCATCCAAACAATCATCAAGTTACAGTCCATGAAATATAGCTAAAATTTAAAAGTTCATAACTTATAACATTATACTAATTAAACTAAAGTTTCATGAAATAGTTAAAATTACATTTGTTTCTATAACATCCACTACTACAACACTATACAAGTTACACTTCGTCATTACAAAAGAATAAGGTTCATGTTTCTGCACAAAAGACCACAAAATGACAATCTCGGTCCAATCTAGATTTGTGGTGGATTATCGTCTGCCACTTCTTTTCCCAAACTTGAAAATTGTTAAGATAATGGGGTGAGCTAAATGCTCAGTAGGAAATGTCTAAGACACACTTCTTATGACCCCGTGAATCCACGCAAAGAATAGGTAAAACATAAACGGGATCATATCGTAGGGAATACACATCAATAACACCACAACAAGCATGTAAATAAATATCATCCAATCTTAATTACACCAAATATGCTAATGAAATGCAATGTCATGTTAATGTCGCTCTCCTATTTTCCAAAACAATTCCTTTTTGCCGTTCCAAACCGTTAATACAATCCGACCCATAGCACCTCTATGGTGCTACGAAGGGAGGGTTGGCTAGCTTTCCCCGACCACATGGCACCTCCATGGCGTCATCTGGGCCTAGGTAACTCAACTACACTAGAGTCTCTCTCTAGCTCCCTCTAGATCACATTAACACCATGGACCACTAGGCGCCTCCTAGGCGTCCGGGTTTTCGCAAACCCTTTATCAAAACTTTTTTCTTTTATTTCAAAACAATTTTCCCATTTTCCTTGCCCAATATTATGTATGAATGTCTCATATATTTCAATGCCATGCAATTAGAGAAATTCATACTCATCAAGTTAATATTTAATAATATACATGCTTTGTAATAAAATAAAAATTCTAAAATATATTTCATGCTTTCTAATCACAAAATTTAGCACTAAAGACACAATGGGCATAAATTAACATCAATTAAGCATGCTTTACCTTCAAATACCAAATAGCACATAATCACATATTTTATATACAACATTAAAGCAACTTTACAAGAAATCTATACAAATTAAGCATGCTATAACACAAATTAAGGAGAATAATCCACAAAAATCAAAGAAAATGTGAATTAGAAACCCCTACCTCAAAATTGAAGAAAAGCCCCAAAATCCCAAATTTCAAACCCTAATTTTGAAATCTCAAAGCTTGGCCAAATGGTGCTTGGCTCCTATCAGATCTACGGCCTCGATGAACTCTACAACTTTGCCCAAGGAAGTGCTACCAAATTCCAAAAGGATAAAAGCTAGATCAAGCCTTGAATGGTGAAAAGAACAAGAAAAAGAAAAATGTTACAGAGAGAGATAGTAGAAACTGCCGAGAGAGAGAATGTATGGATCTGTTGATGACCCTCAAGTCTTATGTGATGATAAGTAATAGTGTGGGTCCCATGGCTTTAAAAGAAATTCATTTAACATTTATATATATATCTATAAACTTTACAAAAAATCTACTGCATTATTTTATTTTATTTTTTATAAAATACTCAGGTTATTTGCAAGAAAATTTTCAGAATTATTTTTTTTTATATGGAGCATAACATATAAAAAAATTATCTCCAATAGAGACCAAATATTCATTTTTATTTTTTTTTAAATGGCGAGTCTATAAAAGAATGAAAATACTTTGACGCAAAATATGATATTTCATGAAATTGATCTCTGTTGGGGCTAAATTTTTTTATATATTTGGCTCCATATGAAAATGAATAATTCTGTAAAATTTCTCGGAAATATCTCGAGTATTTAATTTTTAAAAATAAAATAAGATTATTGGAATAGATTTTTAGATTGCCTATTTCTCTCTGATTATGAAGGTTTGTTGTATAAATCTTATATTTCTGGAATCTTTATTTCATAAACTTTCCGTGCATATAATATTTACAATTTTTAAAAATACGGTTTGTGAGATATGAATTTTTGAAGTTCGAGAGAATTAAAATTTAAATAAATGGATATTTTGGTCGAAATATCAAATCTTTTACCCCCTTCAGATAGTTAAAGGGGGTTGTATGGTAAAAAATTAAACAAGGGGAATTTATTGAAAAAATGTTACAAGACGAGGGGGGTTCTTTGGTAAAAAAAATAGATAAGAGAAATTTACTGAAAAATGTTACAAGTCGAGGGAAATTTTTTATACTTTGCCCATTATAATAATTATAAAAGGTCTAAAAAATAAATGCATTAAAGCCGTTGATTACATACAAGTGGGAAATGGGATCACATGACTCCCACTCGCATGTAATCAATGACTTTAATACTTTAGTATAAATTTTATATATATATATATATATATAAAAAAAATTAATTTTATGTGTGAAATTCTGAATGGTGGCATATTTTTTCTTCTTTTCTAAGGATTCAAAGTAGGAATGGGAATGTGGATTAATGTCTTCAAAACGACATATCAACAAATTTTCTAGTATTAGAGTATTTTCCTGGCATTTTTTTTTATATCTTATGTGTACAATTATTAAACATTTGTTTATACTTTTATAGTGAATTTGTTCTGGATTAAATATAATATAAAAATTATGCATATCGGGCGACCTAATCTGGTTCGCCAAATTAATAAAATCCAGTGCAAAAAGTAGTGCAACTACATGTAAGTTTAGAATAGCCAAAACCCAAGCCAAGCCAAACGAATTGAGTTGGGTTTGGGCCCAAGTATTTAGATGATGTTTATGCTATATTGCCATCCAACCCATAAGATAAAATGCTTGAGTTGAGGTATGCTGTTTTGGGCCAGTCCCATATTGGCATACTGCCATTTAAATGGACTTGGACCCTCCCAATGAATGAGAAGAGATTTGTCTTCCCATTGAATTAAGGGTGACAAAATTTGACATGACCCACCAATATGATTTGAATACGACACGAATTAAATGGATTTAAGTTTAAGTTAAACGAGTTCGAATCGTGGATGGGTCAACATGCTTAACCCGTTTAATAAATCGTGTCCTGCTTGGATTGAGGATTCAACCCATGTAGCCTGTTTCAAACTTTTATATATATATTTTTAGTATTTATGGTTAGGTTGAGTATTATTAATAATATAATGTCTCATTTTAGTAAATATGTTATTAAATGGGTTGCACGTATAACTCGTTTAATAAATAAGTTGGGTTAGTATTAAGAGTTCCTGACATGATTATTAATCGAATTGTACTTGGATGGATCTATTTGGTATAATATTCTTATATCAACACGACACGATTATGACTCACGAACATAAATTGTCAATCCTAAATTGAATTCACTTTCAAATATAGGATGTATAGCTCCCATGTAAGGTCAATAAATAAAAAAAATTAAAAAAAAAATGGTTTATTATTTGATGAACCAACTGATAAAGTTTGAAAATTTTAGCTGTGATTTTCCACGAGAATGAAAAGGAAAAAAGAAGTATTTAGAGAGTATTAATCGATTTCTTAAATAGATGAAGGTCTTTTGAGAACTTATTTTCCATTCTTAATACTGTACTAATGATCCTTTCCATAACACCGATAAAATGTTGTGAACTGGAAATCATTCAGGCCTCAATCTTCTAAAATCAGTTTTAAAATATCTTATAGCCTATGCGTTGTGTCTACTTGTATGGATCAATATGAACACTTCCAGATTATATTTATATCAAGAAATCTTTATACAAATACGATTATTAAATAGGTAATTTACATGACATGTGTAGTTTGTTTAATTAATTCGTCAATAATTTAATTAAATTTTATAAAAAAAATTTACAAAGGTCAAAAAGTTAGATCATGAACAAGTTTAATTACAATATTATTTTGGCATGTTGAGTTAAACCACTATAACTAAATTATAAGGGAATTGTCGTGTCAAACAAAAAGCACAATAAATATAAGAATAATGTTTACCTTAGGCCGTATAAGAAGGAACCTCCATCTTATGATGAGGTGGCCCAATAAAACACTACAATGTGTTGAAATTTTTAAAAAATAAGAAATAATGATTATAGGAAAAAGAAACCCTCGTTCTCTCTGACGCAACTATATATCACTCTTGTGTTTTATCCCTCAAATTATGGACCTCGCTGCCGATTGAGATTTTGTTCGCCACCATCTATTTTTATGGACCACCGCGGCTCGCCACCAACTATTCACACAGCGCCCAATCAATTTCGCAGCCAGAGTTCGCATCATGTAAATATCATCAAAATTACCAATCAATGGTGAATATGAGACCCAAAAAAGAGTTGATTTGGTGGTCGTCTGTGATGGGATACCCTGATGGTGGGAAGAATGATTTTATGAGGCGGTGGTTGTCACATATACTGGCGGCCTGGAGATGGGTTGATTGGTTTGGTGATAATTCGATTCCGTGTGGTTATTATTATTATTATTTTTAAAACTTCAACACATGGTAGTGTTTTATTAAGCCACCTCATCGTAGGAAGGAGGTTCCTTCCTATACGGCCTAAGACAAGCATTATTCTAAATATAATTAACATCTCAATTCAAGTACTGATACAAACACATCAAGAACATTGTGGGCTAGTAGTCTTAAATAAAGCACAAATCACACCCTTCTTTATTTTTATTTTTAAAAATTCAATATTCATTTGTCCTTTTTTCTTTTTAGGATGTTCCAAAGTAGTTGTCAATTTAAAAAGTCAAACAAAAAATAATGTTATATTTTTATCATTACTCGTTTAAGTTTTGAATTAAAAAGTCTTTCAACTTAGTAATATACAAATTTAAATTTAAAAGGATAAGTTAAAAATTTTAATAAAAAGCAATGCCATTTAAATGTGTCCTCTTCAAAACTTCTAATTATCCAAGATGGACAATTAATACACAACAGATGGAGTAACTTGTGATAGAAAAATAAAAATAAATTTTTTTTATAGCAATTCATATTAAACCATGAAGTTATGGGCCAGCAATTTATGTTAATGGTGCATCCGAACAATAAAAGAGGTTAGAGAAACCCTGTTCTAAAAGCAATGCTATACAAAATCATGTTATTATATTATGTTATATTAGAGAGGCACTTGCGTGTATAAAGAAAGGCCAATAAGAGACATCTATTTTATAGAGAATTTGAAGAAATGATGTTTATTAATGGATTTTTTACCCTCATTATCTAACGAGTGTGGGAATACTAACAACTTTTATATAAATTTTATCACTTATCAAACCTCCAATTTAATAGTTGAGCCAACAGTACATAATTTGCATTCTACAAATTTCCATACCTAATCCAATTAGTGTCGTTGTAAAAGTTCGAATGAAACATAACTATTCAATTCAAGCAAACAGTACAACAACATGGACAAATGTTTTCTAGTTCACTAACTAATGCAAGCACATCAGCAATTAGTGTCACTATTTCTGGGCAAGGTGTCTCGCCAAACTTGTGACCCTAACCATCACTTCGTGCTTGTTGGATATAAATGTCTATTCTCCTATTCATAGACCTTTAGTCTAAATTTTTATACATAAATGTTTTAATTACTTACGCTACAAAATTTTATATTATTTTAGAATTTTCTACCATCTACAATGATGTACAATTTCTTTAATATTTTAATTAGAATCTTTCATCTCTCCCTAGCACTCTATTTTTCTTTACGTAACTCTAAAAGTCTCTATCAATTACAACTGTTCACATACATCATGAATACCCAATGATAATGTATTATTTGAAAGAAAAAAAATGTTGGTTTACTTATTTATAAATTTGTTAATAAGGAGACAATAATATGTTATATTTAATTGAGTGGATATACAAATAATATGTTATGCAAGGCGTACTCTATATCATGCACTACTAGCTGTTAAATAATAATAATAATAATTTGTGCCCATTACTCAATGGGGGCAGCCATGCCCAACTTCTTGTTCGATTAACATTATGGGCCTCATAATCACACAAACCAAACGAATTGAGTTGGGATTGGGCTTAAGTATTTAGAAGATGTTTATGCTATATTGTTCTCCAACCCAATAAGATAAATGTTTGAATTGGGCTAAGGTATTATTGGCGAGTCTCATTAGAAAAATATTGATTGATTTTTTAAATAGAAGAGTTCTTTTAACAATTTATTTTCCATTCCAAATACTTCGAGAATGTTCCTTTTTCATAACACACATAAAATGTTGTGGACCGGAAATCATTCAAGTTTGTATCAATAACAACACGATACGATTATATTCATATCAAGAAATTTTGATACGAAAGTTAGTTATGAAAACAACATAATTATTAAATAGGTAATTATATATAACTTGTGCAAGTTATTTAATGAGTCAAAACTTAAAAATGAATAATCTAATTAAATTTCATAATATTTTTTCTAAAGGTTGATGAGTTAGCATGTCCAACACAAATTCAATCGGTTAATTAGAATGTTCACAAATTCAATGAATTGCCTGACAAACAAAAAAAAGTATAACGAACGTTTTAATTTGAGTCAATATAATTACAATTCGAACACAATTAAATAGATTCAAATTCATTTATTATATTTGTTGTGTTTACTCATATCAATATGTGGTATCTCACTCCCGTTGTTGTTATTGAACTTGTCTCTTACTTGTTAATATAGACTAAAACTAACTATTTATCTCTGAAGTATATTTCAAGATTTTGATCTAAATCTAAATCACACGTCACTCTTTTTTCTTTTTATCACTGTAAGGTTTAGTGTCACACATCACACTTTCATATTTTGATTAATTTAAAAAAGTAAAAGGTAAAGATAGTAACCACAAAAGAATAACTTCAAGATGGAAAAGACTATCAGTTCATATTAAAAGATAAAGAAGTTAATTAAATAGTAATTCCACGGGGGTGGTGTCGTCCTTTGTGAACAATAAAGGAGGTTAGAGGAAACTGATTGCTCTAGCTAAAAGCAATTGCTACACAAAACCATGTTAATGTACCATTTTCCTTTCGGTTTGAGTGCGTAGATTACAAGTTATTCTATTTTATGCCTTTCTTTTTCAAAGATAATATATAATTATTCACATATTATTGTTTAAAGAAGACCACAATAAGAAACATCTATTTTATCTTGAAAAAGAAAAAGTTGCCATACGGGGCCATCTTGTACCAGTAAATTATTATTATTTTTATTTATAAGATAAAATAAATTTTTTATTTTTTGAGATTTGACAAAAGTCTAGTTCATCCGACAAGTGTGTAAAATAACTTACCAAAAATTAATGAATTAATTATTTTTAAAATAACTTACCGAAAATTAATGAATTAGTTATTTTTATTAAGTTTTAATATTTTTTTTCTTCGTAAATCTTTTACAACAACCAAATACTAAAAAATAAAAAATATATACTACATCCAAATAAACAGAGCTCCCTTTGTCCATCCGGACTTATGGTTAACTTGATGAGATTTCTTATATGAAGTACTCAGCAATTTATATATATATAAACAGAATTGTTCATTTCTCTCTGATGTGGAGGAAAATGTATGCACATCTCAAATATTAATCGTTAAATTCTATTGGGCAGTTAAAAAAGTAAATTTCTTGCACACCAGTGAGCAAGTGAACTGGTCTTCTATATATATATATATATCATCAGCTACCTCAAACCATGCATGCATGCAAATTAGTTGGGAGATTCAAATGGCCTCAGAAATAGTAATGAATGAAGAAAAGCCTGAAGAGATAGACCATGTTGAGTTGTTTGAAATTGCCATGAAAGGCCATTGGGACAAAGTAGTGGAGGTCTATCAGAAGAGCTCGAAGGCTCGAACGGCCAAGCTCACCAAATCAGAAGACACGGCTCTCCACTTAGCTGTCTTAGATGGCCACACAGACATTGTTGTCAAGCTAGTTGATAGCATTCCTGCAAATGAAGCTTCCAACATCCTTGAAATCAAGAATGAAGGAGGCAACACCCCTCTCCATATTGCGGTGATAATTGGGAACGAGGCTATGTGCGAGTGCATTGCCCAAAAACACCCGAATCTAATCGCAGCTCGCAATGCGGAGAGCGAGACACCTCTCTTCTTGGCAGCCCATCTTGGGAGGCAAGGGGTTTTTTTATGCCTCCATGAGCTGTGGGAAAAAGAATCAGGGCAAGAATTAGATTATACACCATGTAGAAAGAGCAATGGAGATACTATTCTTCATACTGCAATCTTTGGGGAGTGCTTCAGTAAGTGTGGTATATTATTGCAGTTTTTTTTTTTTTTTTTATTATTATTTTTTTGTGTGTGGTGGGGGAGGGTATTTTAATAAAAATGTTAAAAGTTGGTTTTTGTTTTAAAAAAATTTTGTTTTTTATACAATTTTATGGTTACTTAATTTTTTTTCTTGTATTTATTAATTGTGGAAGCATTTTGTTCTAAGTTTCTAACTTCAATAAAAGAGGTATTTTTTTCTCTTTGATTGACTCTCTCATTTCTATAAATGTTTCACCATTTTATGTGTCATTTTGAGTCTAACTTAGATGCAAGACTTAGTAAAAAATGGTTTTCAACAAAAACCCTCCAGTCCAATGGTACAAATTTTTTGAGGGGGAGGGTTCAAAGTATGTTTTAAATACTTACCTGAGAGACTCAGAAAAAACTAATTATTATTTTTTTTTTTAACTACATACCTCTCTATTATTTTGAGACAGGACCTTTTTTCAATCTATTTTATTATTATTATTTTTGCTCTTATTTTTCGCTAATTCTATTAATTGCCAATTTTTTTTTTGAATGATAATTGCCAAATTCATATACTTAATTCCTTTCTTCTATATTATTTGCAGCATGTTTCTTTTTTTAATTCTTATTGCTAATTTTTTATACTGTTTTTAAAAGTACTCCGTACAAAATTAACCAGTCAAAATTTTTTTATTTTATTTTATGAAGTTTCTCTAAAAACAAAAGGTACGTGCTTTAAAAATTTTCTAACAAAACCTATAATAGCACTAAAAATTTCCTTTTTCTTTACATTGTGTAGTTGATGATTTGAATTCTACTAATGTCGTTCATTTGCTAGGTTTGGCATATCAGATACTTAGCGACTACCCAAACCTTGTTAACTATGTGAATGAGAATGGTTTGTCTCCTCTCCATATTTTGGCCAGCAAGCCAAATGTATTCAGCAGCAGTAGTCCCCTTCGACTCGTGGATCGCATCATCTATCACTGTAAGAATATTTGCCCCAAACTCTATTTCATGTTCATTGATCTATCATCCAACCAATTTTTAGAGTTTGTAGGGTCTAGAGAGTCAGATGACCAACCGTGGTTCTTTTAGAAAAGGCGTGTTCATTAGTTCTCTAAAACAAGGGACTCTATTTGGTGTAGTTTTGTAGAGATGTATTGCACTTTTGTTGTTTGATAATATGCTTCACAGAAATGTGCTACTTATTTTATATAGGACATGTTCTTAATTTTTTTCAGCTTTTGTATCTAACTGGAGAAAAACAAACTACATCACATCAAACCAATAATTCACCTCAATGGGCAATCATAATAATTTTGGTAAACAACTTAGATGATCATGATTGATGTTTGGCAAAGTGATTTATTTATGAAAATATACTTACATATGCATGTGTAAGTACATATATGTTGAAGCATGGATAGACATTTTAGTAGTTATTCTTTTTATAAAAAGAAAAATCAAATAAACTAACCAGTGAATCACGAGGTTGAGCTTTTTTTGCCGATAGATTTAGCGTTTGTTTTTAATTTAAAAGTGCAAACTGGCTTTAAAATTCAAGTGTTGATCCATGTTGCTTATTTCCATCAAAACAATTATAAGTTTATCTCCATTGTTGTTGTTGTTAAAGCATATCTGATTTTATTTTCAAGGTGTATTTGTTGATGAGCTCAAGAAGAAATCACATGACCATAAAGCTATTGAAGCCTATCAAAATAAATATAGAGGCAGTAACAGTGTGCACTATCCAGAAAACTACAGAACATGCGCAGACATTTTCAAACTACTGACAAATTCATTTCAAGTTTTAAGTGGGTGAAATCTCTTGGATAAGTTTCATTTTTTTTCCTTTCCCTGCTTATTTTCGTATATATTGTACTTGTTCTAATTGGGCATTCTTTCACTTCAGCTTCTCTGAAGAAAGATGAGAGCTGGAAGTCATGTTTACTGTCATGTTGGGAGGGTTTCAGTCACTCTCTTCTTGCAGATAGAAGCAGAAAGAAAACTACCTGTGCAAGTGACGAGGAAGATCCCCAACAAAAGAGCAGTGTTTCTCAAAGTAAGCATCATTACCTCTTTAAGGGACACCTAGCATCACGATCAATTATTTATCACAACTCAGTATCTTGAGGGATCATTTAAGTTCCATGCATAGCCATACTCACGCTCCTTAGGAACTTCAAGCAAAACTGTTGTAGATCATTAAGTTGCCTGCAATCAATGTCAGTAGGATACTAGCTACCAGGGATAAAGTAATGGAGTCAAATCACTCACAATGAACTGATGTTAGAAGGCACTAAGTATCCCTTCTTTTACTATAGGTTCACTTTGACAATTAGTGTCAAGGTATACAAATAAGACATATGGCAAGGACAGTGGTGCCAGGTTGACACATTGGTGACACATATAGCGCGAGTCATATAGCCCAAGTTTGAAGCCTAACAGAATATAGTACAGCTGGTAGATTTCCTAAATCCCCTTGAGAAAATAAATTCTATCTAAAAAAAACCCAGATCACAACATTGGCACATTTGTTAAAACACTAAAAGTGAAAGGTTACATGAATTAAGGTCATTGAATGTTTATGAAAATCGTATTGTATATATTATTCGTGGTGTGCATTGTAACTTAGATTGCAATTTACTTTAAAGTACAAAGGCAATACAACCCACTTTTTTTGATAAATAACAAGTCTCTCCGCATATAGTACAAACTCTAGTCTTTGTCTCAGTATATATATCCATCATTTGAATCAATAGCATTTTTTAAGATATATTAATTTAATTCTGACAGTTTACACTACTCTATACTAATGAAAGAATTAATCATTTATGCTCCGTCTTTGGCATCACTCTATTAAAGCATAATGTTATTTGCCAAGTTTTACGATTACTAATCAGATAGTCATTTCAAGGGGTTAAAAGAATTTGCTTCCCTTGACCCAATGGCATTTTTCTCATTTCTGGCCCACATCGGGACTTCAGCTACAAATAAATTTTGACAAGTATCTCTTGCACCAAAACCAAACCCCACGCTTGAATATCCACTTCTATGCTTATTTTCAACTTTATTACTTCAATTCAGTGACACTTTATATATGATTAGTTTGACTAGTCAGACATATAGTTAGTTCAATTTTTAAAATTTCATTTATACCATTGAAAAAAGGAAACAGAACTTCCAAGGCTATTGATAGTTAAACTAAGAAGGGACATAATTGCTGTTAAAATTTAACATTGAAATTGACCAGTATTAGTCTTAAACAAAAAGGGAAACAATCATATTTATGCTGGCATCATCCTAATTAAGAAAAACCTATGTGATACAGGAAAGGATATTCAAGGAGCTGCACCGAATGCACAAAGGTCTGGATCACGCAATGGTAAGTGCTCCCCATCTCACAGTTAAAAGGGCTTATTCCCTTTGTCTCAAATTATAGTGAGTTGGTTTGATGGAAATAATAAATAAACGTTTTTGGCCGTAAAGTTTGTTGGGTTCCTAATAAGTTAGTTTTACATCAAAATAAATAGAAAAGAAGGCAGAAGGATCCACAACTAGATTGCTCTAATTTTACTTATCTACCTAAAAATCAGCTAGATTTGATGAGCATTTACTATCCAATTTTCAAATTGAATACTCTGTTTCACAGCATTGTGTAAAGTTATAATCATCTGATGTTGATATTTTCTGAAAAGCTAACTGTGTTGACTACATCTGGTTGTAGCAAATGCAACCCTTCATGTTGTGATTCCTGATAATTAGATAATCGATAGATTTCCAAGGGCACAAACTTTTCTCTTTTTTCCTCGTGTTTTTGTCAGGCAGAGGACCTAAACTTGTAAATTTATATGTTTCTAATCCATTCTGTGGACTTTCTCTGGCAAGATGGAAAACAAGCAAGTAGAGAAGACAATGACAATCACTCCTTTCCTCCCAATTACTCCACGTGTCTTGGATTCTTCAAACTCTTCATGAAGGCACTGCTAATTATTCTTGGACTTGGTTAGTAATAATTCCTAACTTTGCAGACCTGGTAAAATTGTCTGCTGTTAATTATTTTATAAATAAACTGTTGATTGTTTAACCAACTTTTGTACTTTATTGTGTTTCTCACCAACTTTGTAACAAACTTTAGTCATTGTAATCTAGTTTGCTTTAATTAGGAGTTGTTACACTTTTTATAAATTTTTCCTATATTTACTTTAAACTTTTGCTAAAAATCTTTTTACTGCTTTGTTAATCTTTGATCTTTACTAGAGTGACACTTGCCATTTCAAAATGTTTTGTGTTGTTTAATGCACACATATGCTGATGAAGATTTTAATAAGTTTAAATTTGTGTTACAAATTAAGATTTAGAATACCACAATTTACAATGAATTGATGAGGATTCCTACTGTACTACTTATTTAGTGATAGCATAGATGATATAATATAATTTGAGGTATTGCTAAAGCAAAATATGGCAAAAATACAGTAAACTTGGAAGTGTCGAAGCAGGTCATTGTAAACACTATCAATCTTCACACTTTAATATATATATGTGTGTGTGTGTGTGCATGTATTTATATTGTGTATAAGATATAAAAAGGGGAATTTGAAGGTCTATTGGTCTTAATTTTGGCTAGATCTGGACCCAAGTCCAACGCATATTAGCAATGTTGGGTCTTAGACTTTAACTAACTCAGTGTTGTTTTGAACTACCATGCATAAAGGACTCATCTCGTTCCATGTTAAGAATCTTAAGATATCTGTTAGAATTTGGACCATCTACTTGGTGGGTTTAATACTAAATTCAGCTCAAAGGGATAGTATTTTACTGATTTGCATATTGAGGATTATTTAGTATGTTCTTTACATCACAAAGTAACTCAAGCAATGTTGGTTAGATAAGGTCATGCATCCTCACTTGAACTGTATGCCCTTTTAAACTAACTGGTAATGGAAGCAAATTTCCATGGAAGGGGTTGAGATTTGAAAATGTAAAAGAAATGATTTTTTTTTTTAACTGAACATGTATCCTTAAAACCAAAGACAAAAAAGGATTGGAGAACGTATTTAATAGAAAAGTAAAGTTTATATCAACAATCAAGACATTAAACATGTAAAAGTTATATTTGAATGATGTACAAGATAACTCCATAAAATCTTGCAATTACTAACAAGTTGTTAGGTTTGATGAGGATTGTGCCATGATGCCATATTAGTATGAAGAAAAGTATCTAGATCCACCAACCGATGCTTAGGATATCGATAAAACCTGAAATTACCTATCCCCAAAAAAGTTCAATTTGATGATGTTAGCATTTGATTTTTTTCAAATTCAATGATAACTTTTAGAATGTTAAAGAGATTTTTTTTGAAGTAAAATGGTTAGAACTCATCAATTAAAGATGAATTATTATACAGGATCTGTTAATTGGTTATTGGCATGAGATACTTGCAAGTCAGGTCATAATGATGCGCTTTAGAAAAATGCCATACAAATGGAAAAGCGATACTTCTTTCTTGAAGCAAAATGACTCTCACTGTGATTTTGCTTTTGAGATTGCTTATCAAGTCATTCTAGGATGGATATTTGGTGTCATTTTGAGAATAGCATTTCGCTTGTTCAATTAATGGGAGCAAAGTTTACGAAAACAGCTTTTAGTTAAGTCTCAGTGAACCTACTAATTTGTTCATGTATTGTTCATATGGCATGTAGGCATTGGAAGGATAAAGAAAATCACAGAAAAGAAAGAGAAACATGTGTGGGCTTATCAGATCATGAATGAACTGGTTGAACGTGCATCTACTTACAAATATGATTATAATGGAAGAACGCCCCAAGAATCCCAAAATTTCAAGGATGGTGGAGGAACCAAAGTTCCAACGTCGCTACCCTTAACGGATGACCCTGATAAATCTTTGAGCATAACAATAAACTCTGGGAACAAGGGTCAGAATAAGAAGGATCCGAATGGATCAGGTAAAGTTACAAGTTTTCGCTTAACTGTGACTGCACTTGCCTTGTGTATGACTTTATTGAATGAAAGAAGCATCTGTGTTATTTGTGAGACTAATAATTGGGAAATACTTGTTCCTAGGGAAATGGAAAATCGAAGTAGTTCGAATTCGTTTGAGGTTGAAAACTTGTTTTTGCATCTACATTGGGAATGTATAATCATAGTAGTTCGAATTAGTTTGAGGTTGAATTTTTTTTTTTTTGCAACTTAATTCAACTTTTTGGGATTTTTAGGAGAATTTTCAAAAGAACTAAGGAAATTCAGGAGTCTTCCTCTTCTGATTATTTGGGTAACCATGAACCACATCCAAGTGCTTGCTATTCCCTTGATCTCATAGTAATGAAAAACTTAGAGATGCTTTCTAGTTTCAGTTTCTATTAAAGTATTTTTCCTTAAACTTTTCAACTTAGATTGACTGGACTGGTGATTTAATTCTGGTGGAATAATAAAGCCCTCAAAATAATTAACTGCTACAGTTTCAGGGTTATAGAAGTGCATTTTCAGAGAAACCTGGAAAATATGTGATGTTTTTTAGTAACAAACAAAGTATTTGCAATGCTTTACACAGCCTGTATGATAGATTATGCTGTTTTAACTAGGAGAAAAAAAGAAAAAGAAAAAGAAAGAATTATGCTGTTTACTTTCATTAGCAGTGTTCATATTATTAGAAGCTGAATTTTTTTATTGTTTCCACTTCTTTGTTTTCCATTATCTTTCAGTCTTGTTAGGTCGGTAGTACAACACTTTCAATGTACTTTTCACCTCTAATTGGACTTCCTTGACCTTTCCTGGAGCACTGGGAATAGTAATAGCAGCGATTTTAAACAAAAGAAATGTCTCTTACTAACCAAAAAGTAGTTGTCTCAAGAACAATGAAATATTGTTGGTTATTTCTAAGACTGTCTTTTTTTGTGTTTGTAACATTTGCTATCTAAAGAGCACTAGTCATGTAGCAATATATGTAAAGCATTTTTTCTTCTTTTAACTAGTCATAAGAGATACTGTTTACAAAATTGTGATTTTAGATGGCACGGATAAAAGGGATACTGCAAAGATTGAATTGATTAATGTGATGGACAAATTCCTCAATGCGTACCCAGATGTAGTTCAAGTGTTAAATTCATCACTCAAAGATCTTTGGCATTTGAAATGTGAAAAAAAGCAATTACATGATTATGGGAAGAGGGAGACTCCATTATTAATAGCAGCAAAGATGGGAATTGCTGAAATGGTGGAGAAAATCCTCTGCACATTTCCGGTGGCTATCCAGGACTTGGACTCCAATAAGAAGAATGTTGTGCTCTTGGCAGTTGAGAACAGACAAGCTCAGGTTTACAATCTCTTGCTAAAATGTAGTTACCTTAAGGAGAGCATACTCCGTCAAGTGGATGACCAAGGGAACAGCGCACTGCATCTTGCTTCAATGTTTGGGGATCACCAGCCTTGGCTCATTCCAGGCGCAGCATTGCAAATGCAATGGGAAATTAAGTGGTACAGGGTATGATCTATAATTCCCATACTATTTATGCTCATGGTTTAGAATTGTGAATCTCAGATCATTTTGGCCTGGTTATGCCTTCCAAACATGAAATATAACATTCATAAATTGACAAAACATATTGATTGCACAATTCTTGTATAACCGGCATCATGGTTGGATAGATAATAGGTTGAACAATTAGATAACTCTCTGACGCATCTTATATTTGCCGAAATTTCGGCTTTGTTATCCATCATCTAGTTTATGTTTTGGGTTCAGCTCTTCCCTTGTAACTACTTGCCCAGCCATCATGTGACTAGGCACAAAAGCGCAGTTAAGCACATAGTTTGATTATTCAGAGTCCTAATTCATAAAATTCAAGCGTGAGTTATATAATTCTTGACTTGTATCATAATCACTGAAAAAACTCTGGTTGGAAAACTGAGAACTAATGCTTTGTTTGGTATGCGGGTGGGAAAAATGGATTGGAGGGATAGGAGGAAAAATGGAAGAGGCATCCCTAGGGAAGGGAGGGTGTCCATCCCTCATTTGTTTGGTCGAGTGGAAGGGAAGTAAAGAAGTGACATTATCGTTTTACCGTTATACCTTAATTATTTGAATTATTAAATAAGAGTGATAAAACCCTTTTTTTTTTTTTTTTTTTTTTTAAATCCAACAAATATTCATTCTCTCTCCCTCCTTCCTCTCAATTTTGGATGGAAGAAAAATGGTAGGCCAGGAGGGATGCTTCATACCTCCTCCTATCCTTCCCCTCTACCAAACAATGGAAGCTTGTTCCATCCCTTCCTCTTCCTTCCCTCCAACCAAACATAGTCTAAACATAAAATCAACTATGTATTGGATAAAATGAGTGAAATATTATAATGTGTTGTTACTACTAGTTACTAGTAAGAATCTGTTTTTTGACAAGGTATATGTCCTTTTAGACTGATGAAAGAATTAAGTTAGGCCACGAGCAACCTTTAATTTCACAATAGTTGTAGAAACAAACTGAATAGGACTACTTGAGCTTTGTGAAAGTTGAAGTTGAATTGAAGTTCAGCCACAACAAATTTGAGAAATCCAATGGTTTCCTTGCCTCTACTTGTCTATGAATTTCTTGCGGCACTTAAATCTGGATAAAGGTCATAATTTATCAAATTTCAAGCATCTCAATCAAAGCTGAATACTAAGGCCAAGGCAGACACTTGCATAAGAAATCCTGGCCTATGCCCTTTTTTAGAACCGAGTAGACAAAACCTTTCATCCGTAATGAGAAAAGTTTTTTGTCATGCTGAATATGTATGTCCTCTATACCCTCCACACACAAATGCACATATCTCGTGTCTTTTTTATTTCTTCTTGGTGGTTTTGACTTGATTTATCAATTCCAACATAGTTAGCTAAATTCAATAAGAAGGCTGTTTGTGTCATATATATAATGCATACTACCCGCACCTTCAATTCATAGTATGTTACATGGTTATATTACTATCTTGGTAATTCTGATTGGGCTAAATGATCATGAATATGCACCAACTCACAACCATTTTCAGTTGTGTTACTATTTTTGGGGAAAAGTTGTCATTGTGTGCGTCACTGAGCACAATCATTTATGTGTATGCATCTCAAGAGCACAAAGTTTACTGATTTAATTATTCTGGTGATACAGTTTGTTAAACACTCTATGCCACCCCAGTTCTTTGTTCGCCATAACAAATGGGGCGAGAACCCAAGTGAGATCTTCACTCGTACACACGAAAAACTGGTGAAAAATGGTAGCAAATGGCTTATCAAAACCTCTGAGTCGTGCTCTGTGGTCGCAGCACTCATTGCAACAGTTGCATTTGCAACATCAGCAACTGTGCCAGGTGGGGCCAATCAAGAAACCGGTGTTCCAATTCTTGGAAGCGAGCCCGCATTTGTTGCCTTTTCCATCTCGTCACTAATTGCTCTCTGCTTCTCTGTCACAGCCCTGGTGTTTTTCCTGGCAATTCTCACCTCTCGATGCCAAGAAAAAGACTTCCATAGAGATTTACCAAGGAAGCTTCTGCTTGGTTTAACATCGCTCTTCGCTTCAATAGCTTCCATGCTGGTTTCATTCTGCGCTGCACATTTTTTTCTCCTCAAAGATAAATTGAAATCTGCGACCTTTCCAGTATATGCAGTGACGTGCTTGCCAGTGACATTTTTTGCCTTTGCTCAACTCACTCTTTACGGGGATCTTATCTGGGCCATCCTTACAAAGGTGCCGCAGCGTAGCTACAAGGTGTTTCCTCACTAGGTTTGTCATTTATGTTCTCCACCCCTTTGATATGTAACTGAGAACATATAATTTGTTTTTGAGTGCTAAGTTTGGTTTATGATTTGTGTCATGGTCTTTTAGTATGAGTAAGTTAAAATGTGGTTCAGCTAAGTAGCATAGTTCGTTTACGACATTGAACTTCATACATAAAACACAAAATCTTTCAAATTCCTTTCGCTCAACCTCACAAGCCATTGACTGTAGAAGAATTTGAAACTTGTGTAAGAAAATTTATCGAGATAAAAGGACTAGGATGAACTGTTTCTATGAAGTTGCTCCAGGACTGGTCTAATATCACATGGAAAACAATCAAACAGAACGTGGGAACTGTTGAGGCTATAACCCCAGGAATGTGTTGTTACCCAACTGGTGGACCTACCTGATACCTCCGTCTATTATAACTTGGGCAATACTATTCAAACTTAATAATTTAACCTAGTCGAAAGTTTCTTGTCCGTTTGATGCATCGGATAAGATCAAAGTTGTGGCCTTATTGGATGCATCTAATAGATAAGACTTTCTTGACTAGACTGCTTGCTTAGACTAAAAAATAAATGCATTAAAGTCGTTGATTACATACAAGTGGGAAATGGGATCACATGACTCCCACTTGCATGTAATCAATGACTTTAATACTTTAGTATAAATTTTATATATATAATTAATTTTTTGTGTAAAATTCTGAATGGTGGGCATATTTTTTCTTCTTTTCTAAGAATTCAAAGTAGGAATGGGAATGTGGATTTTTTTTAGTATTAGAGTATTTTCCTGGCATTTTTTTTATGTATCTTATGTGTAAAATTATTAAACATTTGTTTATAGTTTATACTTTTATAGCGAATTTGTTCTGGATTAAATATAATATAAAAATTATGCATATCGGGCGACCTAATCTGGTTCGCCAAATTAATAAAATCCAATGCAAAAAGTAGTGCAACTACATGTAAGTTTAGAATAGACTAAACCCAAGCCAAGCCAAGCCAAACGAACTGAGTTGGGTTTGGGCCCAAGTATTAGATGATGTTTATGATATATTGCTATCCAACAAATAAGATAAATGCTTGAATTAAGCTATGCTGTTTTGGGCCAGTCCCAAACTGGCATACTACCATTTAAATGGACTTGGATCCTCCCCTGTGAATGAGTAGAGATTTGTCTTCCCATTGAATTAGGGGCGACAAAATTTGACACAACTCATTCAACTTGAATACGATACGAGTTAAATTGAATTAAGTTTACTTTAAATGAGTTCGAATCGTAGATGGGTCAACATGATTAACCCGTTTAATAAATCGTGTCGTGCTTGGATTGAGGATTCAACCCGTGTAGTCTGTTTGAAACTTATATATATATATATATTTAGTATTTGTGGTTCGGTTGAGTGTTATTAATAATATAATGTCTCATTTTAGTAAATATGTTATTAAACGGGTTGCACATATAACTTAGTTTAATAAATAAGTTGGGTTACTATTAAGAATTTCTGACATGATTATTAAACGAATTATATATGGATGTATCTATTTAGTATAATTTTCTTATATCAACACGACACGATTATGACTCACGAATATGAATTGTCAATCCTAAATTGAATTCGCTTTCAAATATAGGCGGTATAGCTCCCATGTAAGGTTCAAAAAAAAAAAAAAAATTTTTTATTATTTGATGAACCAACTGATAAAGTTTGAAAATTTTAGCTGTGATTTTCCACGAGAATGAAGACAGAAAGGAAAAAAATAGTAGTATTTAGAGAGTATTAATCGATTTCTTAAATAGATGAAGATCTTTTGAGAACTTATTTTCCATTCTTAATACTATACTTATGATTCTTTCCATAACACCGATAAAATGTTGTGAATTGGAAATCATTCAGGCAATTTCATGGGAATCATAACTTGCATATTAGAGAGACACTTAAGTGTATAAAGAAAAGGCCAATAAGAGACATTTATTTTATAGAGAATTTGGAGAAATAATGTTTATTAATGGATTTTTTACACTCATTATCTAATCGGTGTGGGAATGCGACAACTTTTATATAAATTATATCACTTATCCAACTTCCAGATTTAATAGTTGAGCCAAGAGTACATAATTTGCATTCAATCCTACAAATTTCCATAACTAATCCAATTAGTCTCGTTGTAAAAGTTCGAGTGAAACATAACTATTTCAATTCAAGCAAACAGTACAACAATATGGACAGAAATGTTTATAGTTTACTAACTAATGCAAGCACATCACCAATTAGTGTCTCTGTTTCTGGGCAAGGTGTCTCGCCAAACTCTGTGGCCCTAACCATCACTTCGAGCTTGTTGGACATAAATGTCTATTCTCCTATTTATAGACCTGAGTCTAAAATTTTATACATAAATGTCTTAATTACTCACTCTACAAAATTTTATATTATTTTAGAATTTTCTACCATCTATAATGATGTACAATTTCTTTAATATTTTAATTAGAATCTTTCAACTCTCTCTAACACTCTATATTTTTTTATATAACTCTAAAAGTGTCAATCAATTACAACGTTTCACATATATCATGAATACCCAATGATAATGTATTATTTAAAAAAAAAAGTTGGTTCACTTATTTATAAATTTGTTAATAAGGAGATAATAATATGTTATATTTAATTGAGTAGACAAATCACATATTATGCAAAGCCTACTGTATATTATGCACTACTGGCTGTTAAAAAAATAATAATAATAATTTGTGCCCATTACTCAATGGGGAAGCCATGCACTACTTCTTCTTCGATTAACATTATGGGCCTCATAATCACGTAGGCCAACCCAAACCAAACGAATTGAGTTGGGTTTGGGCTTAAGTATTTAGGAGATGTTTATGCTATATTGTTCTCCAACCCAATAAGATAAATGTTTGAATTGGGCTGAGGTATTATTGGCGAGTCTCATTAGAAAAATATTGATTGATTTCTTAAATAGACGAGATCTTTCAACAATTTATTTCCCATTCCAAATACTTCGAGAATCGTCCTTTTTCATAACACACATAAAATGTTGTGGACCGGAAATCAATCAAGTTTGTATCAATAACAACACCATACGATTATATTCATATCAAGAAATTTTGATATGAACACAACATAATTATTAAATAGGTAATTATATATAACTTGTGCAAGTTGTTTAGTGAGTCAAAATTTAAAAATGAATAATCTAATTAAATTTTATAATATTTTTCTAAACGTGGACGAGTTAGCACGTTTAATTAGAATGTTCACAAATTCTATGAATTCCCTGATAAACAAAAAAAGTGTAAGGAACGTTTCAATTTGAGTTAATATAATTACAATTCAAACACGATTAAATAGATTCAAATTCATTTATTATATGTGTTGTGTTTGACTCATATATCTCACTCCCATTGTGATTATTCAGCTTGTCTCTTACTTGTCAATAGAGACTAAAACTAGCTATTTCTCTCTAGAGTATATTTCAAGAGTTTGGTCCAAATCTAAATCGCACATCACTCTTTTTTTCTTTTTTCTTTTTATCACTGTAAGGTTTAGTGTCACACATCACACTTTCATATGTTGATTAATTCAAAAAAGTAAAAGGTAAAGATAGTAACCACAAAAGAATAACTTCATGATGGAAAAGAATATCAGTTCATATTAAAAGATAAAGAAGTTAATTAAATAGTAATTCCACGGGGGTGGTGTCCTTGTGAAGAATAAAAGAGGTTAGAGGAAACTGATTGCTCTAGCTAAAAGCAATTGCTCCACAAAACCATGTTAATGTACCATTTTCCTTTCGGCTTGAGTGCGTAGATTACAAGTTATTCTATTTTATGCCTTTCTTTTTCATAGATAATATATAATTATTCACATATTAGTGTTTAAAGAAGACGACAATAAGAAACATTTATTTTATCTTGAAAAAGAAAAAGTTACCATACGGGGCATCTTGTACCAGTAATTTTTATTTTTTATTTTTTTAAGATTAAATATATTTTTTATTTTTTTTTTATATTTGACAAAAGTCTAATTCATCTGGCAAGTGTGTAAAATAACTTATCAAAAATTAATGAATTAATTATTTTTAAAATAACTTACCGAAAATTAATAAATTAGTTATTTTTATTAAGTTTTAATATTTTTTTTCATCATAAATCTTTTACAACAACCAAACACCAAAAAATAAAAATATATATTACATTCAAATAAACAGAGCTCCCTTTGTCCATCCGGACTAATGGTTAACTTGATGAGATTTCTAATACGAAGTGCTTAGCCATTTATATATATATATATAAATAGAATTGTTCACTTTTCTTTGGTGTGAAGGAAAATGTATACACACCTCAAATATTAACCGTTAAATTTTATTAGGTAGTTAAAAATATAATTTATTCTTTTATATCCAACTTCGTACATAAATTCATTACACACCCGTGAGCAAGTGAACAGTCTTCCATATACATATATCATCAGCTACCTCAAACCATGCATGCATGCAAATTAGTTGGGAGATTCAAATGGCCTCAGAAAAAGTAATGAATGAAGAAAAGCCTGAAGAGGTAGATCATGATCAGTTGTTTGAAATTGCCATGAAAGGCCATTGGGACGAAGTAGTCGAGGTCTATAAGAAGAGCTCAAAGGCTCGAATGGCCAAACTCACCAAATCAGAAGACACGGCTCTCCACTTAGCCGTCTCAGATGGCCTCACAGACATTGTTGTCAAGCTAGTTGATAGCATTCCTGCAAATGAAGCTTCCAAAATCCTTGAAATCAAGAATGGAGGAGGCAACACCCCTCTCCATATTGCGGCGATAGTTGGGAACGAGGATATGTGTGTGTGCATTGCCCTCAAACAATCGAATCTAATCATAGCTCGCAATGCAGAGAGCAAGACACCTCTCTTCTTGGCAGCCCATCTTGGGAAGCAAGGGCCTTTTCTTTGCCTCCATGAGGTGTGGAAAAAAGAATCAGTAGATTATACACCATGTAGAAAGAGCAATGGAGATACTATTCTTCATACTGCAATCGATGGGGAGTACTTCAGTAAGTGTTGTATATTATTGCAGATTTTTTTTTTTTTTTTTTGGTGGTGGGGGAGGCCGGTATTTTAATAAAAATGTTAAAAGTTGTTTTTTTTTTTTTTTTTTTTTTTTTTTAAATGTTTTTAATACAATTTTATGGTTACTTGATTTTTTTTTTTTTTTTCTTGTATTTATTAATTGTGGAAGCATTTTGTTCCAACTTCAATAAAAGAGGTTTTTTTTATCTCTTTGATTGACCCTCTCATTCCTATAAATGTTTCATCATTTTATGTGCCATTTTGAGTCTAACTTAGATGCAAGACTTGGTAAGAAAATGGTTTTCAACAAAAACCCACTAGTCCAATGGTACAAATTTTTTGAAAGAGGGGAGGGTTCAAGCTCGAAAGTGAATAAAAGTATATTTTAAGTACCTCCCTGATCAGAGGTGAGACAAACATTTTTTCAATCTATTTTATTATTATTATTTTGCTCTTATTTTTCTAATTCTATTAATTGCCAAATTCCTATGCTTAATTCCTTTCTTCAATATTATTTGCAGCATGTTTCATTTTTTATTCTTATTGTTAAATTTTTATACTGTTTAAAAAATATATAAAATTAACCGGTCATAATTTTTTATTTTATTTTATTTTATAAAGTTTCTCTAAAGACAAAAGGTTCGTGCTTTAAAATTTTTCTAACAATACCTATAATAGCACTAAAATTTTATTTTTTCTTTACATTGTGTAGTTGATGATTTGTATTCTACTAATGTTCTTCTTTTGATAGGTTTGGCATATCAGATACTTAGCGACTACCCAAACCTTGTTAACTATGTTAATGAGAATGGTTTGTCTCCTCTCCATATTTTGGCCAGCAAGCCAAATGTATTCATCAGCAGTAGTCCCCTTCGACTCATCGATCGCATCATCTATCACTGTAAGAATATTTGCCGCAAACTCTATTTCATGTTCATTGATCTATCATCCAACCAATTTTTAGTGTGCATAGGGATTAGCCAGTGAGACTCCGTCTTTGTAAGGTCCAGAGAGTCAGATATACGCAACCTTACCACCTCCACCAACCAACTGTGGCTCTTTTAGAAAAGGCGTGTTCATTAGTTCTCTAAAACAAGGGACTCCATTTGGTGTAGTCTTGTAGAGACGTATTGCACGTTTGTTGTTTGATAATATTCTTCACAGAAATGTGCTACTTATTTTATATAGGACATGTTCTTAATTTTTTTCAGCTTTTGTATCTAACTGGAGAAAAACAAACTACATCACATCAAACCAATAATTCACCTCAATGGGCAATCATAATAATTTTGGTAAACAACTTAGATGATCATGATTGATGTTTGGCAAAGTGATTTATATATGAAAATATACATACATATACATGTGTAAGTACATATATGTTTAAGCATGGATAGACATTTTAGTAGTTATTCTTTTTATAAAAAGAAAAATCAAATAAACTAACCAGTGAATCACGAGGTTGAGCTCTATTTCCCGATAGATTTAGTGTTCCTTTTTAATTTAAAAGTGCAAATTGGCTTTAAATTCAAGGGTTGATCCATGTTGCTTATTTCCATAAGAACAATCATAAGTTTATCTCCATTGTTGTTGTTGTTAAAGCATATCTGATTTTATTTTCGAGGTGTATTTGTTGATGAGCTCAAGAAGGAATCACATGACAATAAAGCTATTGAAGCCAATCTAACTAAATATAGAGGCAGTAAGTAGTAACAATGTGCACTATCCAGAAAACTACAGAACATGCGCAGACATTTACAAACTACTGAGAAATTCATTTCAAGTTTTAAGTGGGTGAAATCTCTTGGATAAGTTTCATTTCTTTTCCTTTCCCTACTTATTTTCATAAATATTGTACTTGTTCTAATTGGGAATTCTTTCATTTCAGCTTCTCTGAAGAACGATGGGGGTTGGAAGTCATTTTTACGCTTAAGTTGGGAGGGTTCCAGTCACTCTCTTCCTGCAGATAGAAGCAGAAAGAAAACTACCCGTCCAAGTGATGAGGAAGATCCCCATCAAAAGAGCAATGTTTCTCAAGGTAAGCATTATTATCTCTTTAAGGACACATAGCATCATGATCAATTATTTATCACAACTCAGTACCTTGGGGATCATTTAAGATCTATGCATAGCCATACTTACACTCCTTAGAAACTTCAAGCAACACTGTTGTAGATCATTAAGTTGCCTACAATAAATGTCAGTAGTACTAAGTTACTAACAGGGATAAAGTAATGGAGTCAATCATTCATAATGAACCGATGTTAGAAGGCACTAAGTATCCCTTCTTTTACTATATGTTCACTTCGACTATTAGTGTCAAGGTATACAAATAAGATATATGGCAAGGACAGTGGTGCCAGGTTGACACATATAGCACGAGTCATATGCCCCAAGTTTGAAGCCTAGCAGAATGTAGTACAACTGGTAGATTTCCTAAATCCCCTTGAGAAAATAAATTCTATCTTAAAAACCCAGGTCACAACATTGGCACATTTGTTCAATTTGCAAGCACTAAAAGTGAAAGGTACAAGTAGTTAACATGATCCTTAAGTTATTTTGATAGTATATGAATTAAGGTCGTTGAATGTTTATGAAAATCGTATTGTATAAATTATTCGTGGTGTGCATTGTGACTTAGATTGCAATTTACTTTAACGTACAAAGGCAATACAACCTACTTTTTTAGAGAAATAACGAGTTTCTCCGCATATAGTACAAACTATAGTCTTTGTATCAGTATACATATCCATCATTTGAACCAATAGCATTTTTTAAGATATATTAATCTAACTCTGACAGTTTACACTACTATATACCAATGAAAGAATTAATCATTTATGCTCTATCTTTGGCATCATTCTATTATAGCATAATGTTATTTGCCAAGTTTCACAATTACTAATCAGATAAAGGGGTTAAAAGAATTTGCTTCCCTTGCCCCGATGGCATTTTTCTCATTCCTGGCCCACATCGGGACTTTAGCCACAAATAAATTTTGACAAGTATCTCTTGCACCAAAACCAAACCCCACGCTTGAATATCCACTTCTGTGCTTATTTTCAACTTTATTACTTGAATTCAGTGACACTTTATATACGATTAGTTTGACTAGTCAGACATATAGTTAGTTCAATTTTTAAAATTTCTTTTATCCCACTGAAAAAAGGAAACAGAACTTCCAAGGCTATTTTTTTTTTTTTTTGGTCATTCAAAGGCACAAAGGCCAAAAGCCATGAAGGCAGTACAAAGGTTAAAGCCAAGCTGGAAAAGACATACAAATCTTAAAGCAAAGCAAATAAATGAAGAACAGGTTCCAAATTTGTGGAGGAAACATAGCCCAACACTCTACAAACGGAACCACCATGGGAGAACGCAGCAAACTGGAAAGACCAAAAGGTCTGGCCATCAGTATGGCAACCGTTTCAAAGCTAAAACCACAAGGCGCTCCGACATATAAAAAACCCTGCACAAGATCAAATCAAGGGGAAAAAGATTAAATCGAGGCAGGGAAAATTAAAACCGATCTAGACCAGAGATCTAGTCGGAGGAAACAACAGATCCGCCCATGTGATCCGAAAACAAACCGAACATGAACAGATCTAGCCGAAGAAAAACAAAAACGGCGTAAAAAAACACCCACGGAGTGCACTTATTGAAACACGCCGAGTTTATTGCAGCAATGGGAGGTGGCCATCATCTCCCCACTCCCATGGAAGGGAGCAGGGAGGCAGAGTGATGAAGCAGACGAAGGGGTTAGAGAGAGAAAGTTAGAGAGAGGTGGGAGAGAAAGTTGGGGCGGCTGCCGGCTATAAGGCTATTGATAGTTAAACTAAAAAGGAACATAATTAGTGTTAAAATTTAACATTGAAATTGACCACTATTAGTCTTAAACAAAAGGGGAAACAATCATATATATGCTGGCATCATCCTAATTAAGAAAAACCTATGTGATACAGGAAAGGATATTCAAGGAGCTTCACCGAATGCACAAAGGTCTGGATTACGCAATGGTAAGTGCTCCCCATCTCACAGTTAAAAGGGCTTATTCCCTTTTATTACTTTGTTGTAACGCAAAATTTCACCATCATTTTCTTTACATATTGTACTGCACTTCTGTTCGCAGGCCAAACTGTCTCGAATTACAGTGAGTTGGTTTGATGGAAATAATATATAAATGTTTTTCGCTGTAAAGTTTGTTGGGTTCCTAATAAGTTAGTTTTACATCAAAATAAACAGAAAAGAAGGCAGAAGGATCCACAACTAGATTGCTCTAATTTACTTATCTACCTAAAAATCAGCTAGATTTGATGAGCATTTACCATCCAATTTTCAAATTGAATACTCTGTTTCACAGCATTGTGTAAAGTTATAATCATCTGATGTTGATATTTTCTGAAAAGCTAACTATGTTGACTACATCTGGTTGTAGCAAATGCAACCCTTCATGTTGTGATTCCTGATAATTAGATAATCGATAGATTTCCAAGGGCACAAACTTTTCTCTTTTTTCCTCGTGTTTTTGTCAGGCAGAGGACCTAAACTTGTAAATTTATATGTTTCTAATCCATTCTGTGGACTTTCTCTGGCAAGATGGAAAACAAGCAAGGAGAGAAGACGATGGCGATCTCTCCTTTCCTCCCAATTACTCCACGTGTCTTGGATTCTTCAAACTTGTCATGAAGGCACTGCTAATTATTCTTGGACTTGGTTAGTAATAATTCCTAACTTTGCAGACCAGGTAAAATTGTCTGCTGTCAATCGTTTTATAAATAAACTGTTGATTGTTTAACCAACTTTTGTACTTTATTGTGTTTCTCAACAACGTTTGTAACAAACTTTAGTCATTGTAATCTAGTTTGCTTTAATTAGGAGTTGTTACACTTTTTATAAATATTTCCTATATTTACTTTAAACTTTTGCTACAAATCTTTTTACTGCTTTGTTAATCTTTGATCTTTACTAGAGTGACACTTGCCATTTCAAAATGTTTTGTGTTGTTTAATGCACTCATATGCTGATGAAGCTTTTAATAAGTTTAAATTTGTACACAAATTTAATTAAGATACAGAATACCACAATTTACAATGAATTGATGAGGATTCTTACTGTACTACTTATTAAGTGATAGCATAGATGATATAATATAATTTGAGGTATTGCTAAAGCAAAATATGGCAAAAATACAGTAAACTTGGAAGTGTCGACGGGACGTCATTGTAAACACTATCGATCTTCACACTTTAATATATATTTATATTTGTGTGTGTGTATTGTGTATAAGATATAAAAAGGGGAATTTGAAGGTCTCTTGGTCTTAATTTTGGCTAGATCTGGGCCCAAGTCCGACGCATATTAGCAATGTTGGGTCTTAGACTTTAACTAACTCAGTGTTGTTTTGTACTACCATGCATAAAGGACTCATCTCGTTCCATGTTAAGAATCTTAAGATATCTGTTAGAATTTGGACCATCTACTTGGTGGGTTTAATACTAAATTCAGCTTAAAGGGATAGTATTTTACTGATTTGCATATTGAGGATTATTTAGTATGTTCTTTACATCACAAAGTAACTCAACCAATGTTGGTTAGATAAGGTCATGCATCCTCACTTGAACTATATGCCCTTTTAAACTTACCAAAAAAAAAATAAACTATATGCCCTCTCAATTTATTCATTTATTTTTATTTTTTATTATTTTTATACCTATTAGGTGTTGGGTCAAAATTCTAATACAGTTACTGATAGGGCAATCTGTGTTCCACTAACTGGTAATGGAAGCAAATTTCCATGGAATGGGTTGAGATTTGAAAATGTAAAAGAAATGATTTTTTTTTTTAACTGAACATGTATCCTTAAAACCAAAGACAAAAAGGATTGGAGAACCTATTTAATAGAAAAATAAAGTTTATATCAACAATCAAGACATTAAAACATATAAAAGTTATATTTGAATGATGTACAAGATAACTCCATAAAATAGTTAGAACTCATCAATTAAAGATGAATTATTATACAGGATCAGTTAATTGGTTATTGGCATGAGATACTTGCAAGTCAGGTCATAATGATGCGCTTTAGAAAAATGCCATACAAATGGAAAAGCGTTTTTAAAAATACTTCTTTCTTGAAGCAAAATGACACTCACTGTGATTTTGCTTTTGAGATTGCTTATCAAGTCATTCTAGGATGGATATTTGGTGTCATTTTGAGAATAGCATTTCGCTTATTCAATTAATGGGAGCAAAGTTTACGAGAACAGCTTGTAGTTAAGTCTCAGTGAACCTACTAATTTGTTCATGTATTGTTTATATGGCATGTAGGCATTGGAAGGATAAAGAAAATCACAGAAAAGAAAGAGAAACTTGTGTGGGCTCATCAGATCATGAATGAACTGGTTGAACGTGCATCTACTTACAAATATGATTATAATGGAAGAACGCCCCAAATTTTCAAGGATGGAGGAGGAACCGAAGTTCCAACGTCGGCACCCTTAACGGATGACCCTGATAAATCTTTGAGCATAACAATGAACTCTGGGAAGGATCAGAAAAAGAAGGATCCGAATAGATTAGGTAAGGTTACAAGTTTTCGCTTAACTGTGACTGCACTTGCCTTGTGTGTGACTTTATTGAATGAAAGAAGCGCCTGTGTTATTTGTGAGACTGTAATAAGTGGGAAATACTTGTACCTAGGGAAATGGAAAATCGAAGTAGTTCGAATTCGTTTGAGGTTGAAAACTTGTTTTTGCATCTACATTGGGAATGGATAATCATAGTAGTTCAAATTAGTTTGAGGTTGAAAACTTTTTTTTGGAAGTTTTTGGGATTTTTTAGGAGAATTTTCAAAAGCAACTAAGGAAATTCAGGAGTCTTTTTCTTCTGATTATTTGGGTAACCGTGAACCACATCCAAGTTCTTTTGGAAAACAGATTTACTTTACTTTCTTTTGCTATTCCCTTCATCCGTGAAAAACTTAGAGATGCTTTCTAGTTTTTATTAAAGTTTTTTTCCTTAAACTTTTCAACTTAGATTGACTGGACTAGTGATTTTAATTCTGGTGGAATAATAAAACCCGCAAAATAATTAACTGCTACAGTTTCAAGGTTATAGAAGTGCATTTCCAGAGAAACCTGGAAAATAGATGATATTTTTTAGGAACAAGCAAACTATTTGCAATGCTTTACAAGCCTGTATGATAGATTATGCTGTTTTAACTATGAAAAAAAAAAAAAGATTATGCTGTTTACTTTCATTAGCAGTGTTCATATTAGTAGAAGCTGAAATTTTTTATTGTTTCCACTTCTTTGTTTTCCATTATCTTTCAGTCTTGTTAGGCCGGTAGTACAACACTTTCAATGTACTTTTCACCTCCAATTGTATTTCCTTGACCTTTCCTGGAGTTTTGCTAATTACTCTCTTAAATCCTTTATCCTGGAGCATTGGGAAAGTCATAGCAGCGATTTTAAACAAAAGAAATGTCTCTAGCTTACTAACCAAAAAGTAGTTGTCTCGAGAACAATGAAATATTGTCGGTTATTTCTAAAGCTGTCTTTTTTTGTGTTTGTAACATTTGCTATCTGAAAGAGCACTAGTCATGTTGCAATCTATGTAAACCATATTTTCTTGTTTTAACTAGTCATAAGAGATATTGTTTACAAAATTGTGATTTTAGATGGCACGGATAAAAGGGACACACCTGGATATTATGGGAAGAGGGAGACTCCATTATTAATAGCAGCAAAGATGGGAATTGCTGAAATGGTGGAGAAAATCCTCTACACATTTCCGGTGGCTATCCAGGACTTGGATTCCAATAAGAAGAATGTTGTGCTCTTGGCAGTTGAGAACAGGCAAGCTGATGTGTACAAACTCTTGCTAAAAGGTAGTTACCTTAAGGAGAGCGTACTCCGTCAAGTGGATGACCAAGGGAACAGCGCACTGCATCTTGCTTCAATGTTTGGGGATCACCAGCCTTGGCTCATTCCAGGCGCAGCATTGCAAATGCAATGGGAAATTAAGTGGTACAGGGTATGATCTATAATTCCCATACTTTTTATGCTCGTGGTTTAGAATTGTGTATCTCAGATCATTTTGACCTGGTTATGCCTTCAAAACATGAAATATAACATTCATAAATTGACAAAACATATTGATTGCACAATTTTTGTGTAACCGGTGTAATGGTAGGATAGATAATCGGTTGAACAATTAGATAACTTTCTGATGCATCTTATATTTGCTGAAATTTCGGCTATATGATCCATCATCTGGTTTATGTTTTGGGTTCAGCTCTTCCCTTGTAACTACTTGCCCAGTCATCATGTGACTAGGTACAAAAGCGCAGTTAAGCACATAGTTTGATTATTCAGAGTCCTAATTCATAAAATTCAAGCGTGAGTTATATATAATTCTTGACTTGTATCATAATAACTGAAAAATATCTGGTTGGAAAACTGAGAACTAATGCATTGTTTGGTATGAGGGTGGGAAAAATGAGTGGAGGGATAGGAGGAAAAGTGAAAGAGGCATCCCTAGGGAAGGAGGGTGTTCATCCCTCAATTGTTTGGTCGAGTGGAAGGGAAGGAAAGAAGTGATATTATCGTTTTACCATTATACCTTAATTATTTAAATCAGCATACTTAAATAAGAGTTATAAAACCTTTTTTGTTTAATCCAACAAATATTCAGTCTCACTCTCCTCTTCCTCTCACTTTTGGATGGAAGAAAAATGGTAGGCCAGGAGGGATGCTTCATACCTCCTCCTATCCTTCCCCTCTACCAAACAATGGAATCTTGTTCCATCCTTTCCTCTTCCTTCCCTCCAACCAAAGATAGGCTAAACATAAAATCAATTATGTATTGGGAAAAATGACTGAAATATTATAATGTGTTGTGACTACTAGTTACTAGTAAGAATCTGCTTTTTGACAAGGTATATGTCCTTTTAGACTGATGAAAGAATTAAGTTAGGCCACGAGCAACCTTTTGTAGAAACAAACTGAATAGGACTACTCGAGCCTTGTGAAAGTTGAACTTGAATTGGAGTTCAGCCACGACAAATTTGAGAAATCCAATGGTTTCCTGGGCTCTACTCATCTATGAATTTCTTGCTGCACTTAAATCTGGATAAAGGCCATAATTTATCAAATTTCAAGCATCTCAATCAAAGCTGAATACTAAGGCCAAGGCAGACACTTGCATAAGAAATCCTGGCCCATGCCCTTTTTCAGAACTGAGTAGACAAAACCTCTCATCCATAATGAGAAAAAACTTTTGTCCTGCTGAATACGTATGTCCTCTGTACCTTCCACACACAAATGCACATATCTAGTGTCTTTTTTATTTGTTCTTGGTGGTTTTGACTTGATTTATCAACTCCAACATAGTTAGCTAAATTCAATAAGAAAGCTGTTTGTGTCATATAGATAATGCATTCCTTGTTTCATGGTTATAGTACTTTCTTGGTAATTCTGATTGGGCTAAATGATCATGAATAAGCACCAACTCACAACCATTTTCAGTTGTGTTACTATTTTTGGGAAAAAGTTGCCATTGTGTGCGTCTGTGAGCACAATCATTTATATGTGTGCATCTCAAGAGCACAAAGTTTACTGATTTTATTATTCTGGTGATGCAGTTTGTCAAACACTCTATGCCTCCCCAGTTCTTTGTTCACTATAACAAAAGGGGCGAGAACCCAAGTGAGATCTTCAGTCGCACACACGAAAAACTGGTGAAAAATGGTAGCAAATGGCTTATCAAAACCTCTGAGTCGTGCTCTTTGGTCGCAGCACTCATTGCAACAGTTGCATTTGCAACATCAGCAACTGTGCCAGGTGGCGCCAATAAAGAAACCGGTGTTCCAATTCTTGGAGGCGAGCCCGCGTTTGTTGCCTTTTCCATCTCGTCACTAATTGCTCTCTGCTTCTCTGTCACAGCCCTGGTGTTTTTCCTGGCAATTCTCACCTCTCGATGCCAAGAAAAAGACTTCCATAGAGATTTACCAAGGAAGCTTCTGCTTGGTTTAACATCGCTCTTCGCTTCAATAGCTTCCATGCTGGTTTCATTCTGCGCTGCACATTTTTTTCTCCTCAAAGATAAATTGAAATCTGCGACCTTTCCAATATATGCAGTGACGTGTTTGCCAGTGACATTTTTTGCCTTTGCTCAGCTCACTCTTTACGGGGATCTTATCCGGGCCATCCTTACAAAGGTGCCGCAGCGTAGCTACAAGGTGTTTCCTCACTAGGTTTGTCATTTATGTTCTCCACCCCTTCGATATGTAACTGAGAACATATAATTTGTTTTTGAGTGCTAAGATTGGTTTATGATTTGTGTCATGGTCAGTGTTGTTAAAGGCGCGCCTAGGCTCGAGGCTTGGGTTTAGCACTTGTTGTCATCCTACGCTCACTGATGTTTACTAGGCACGCGCCTCGTCCTGTTTGTGAGGTGCGTCTCACTGATATTTGTTTTAAATAAAAAGGATTGTTCTATTTCTTAAGCTAAAAAGGGTACTTTTGGCAACATAATAAACAAAAAAGAGGAACTTTTGTACAAAAGAATAAAAAAAATAAGAAAGCCTAATAGTTAAAGTGTTAACCGAACAGTAATAGAATGAGATTGTGAGACAAACACAAAGCCCTAATTGGAGAGATGAACGATGAAGCCACGTGAGTTCTCTCTCTCTTTTTTTTCTCTCTTCTCCTCTAGATCTCCCCCCTCTTCTTATCTTTGTTTACATCTCTCTTTTCGTCTAGTCTATTCTCTCTCTCTCTTTATTTTTATTATTATTATTTTTTTTATGATTGTTTTTTCGTTTCGTTTTTTTTTCTTGTTAACAATTTTTTTTTTTTTTTTTTTTTTTGTTAACATATTTATTTCTTTTTGTTCTTTGTTTTGCCATTCAAAAAAAAAAACATTTTGCTTTGCCTTTCAAGAAAACAAATTTGTGCTCTGTTTTATCGCTGTTGGATGCTTGTATCGTTGATGGATTTACTTTTTTATATTTGATATTAATTTTTAAAATATGGATATAACTTATGAGATATGAATGTTATCATGGTAGTTCAAATTTTCAATTGTGCTAACTTATGAGATATGAATGTTATTATGGTAGTTTAAATTTTCAATTGTGCGCCTCACTTCACTTAGGCGCGCGCCTCGCTATGCGCCTAGCGCCTAGGCTTTAAAGGACCTCTAACGCCTTCGGCCTTTAAAAACACTGGTCATGGTCTTTAGTACGAGCAAAATAAAATGTGGTTCAGCTACGTAGCATAGTTCGTTTATGACACTGAGGGCCCGTTTGGCATGCGTTTTGTTTTAGGTGTTTTGTTTTTGGCTAAAACAGAAACAATGTTTTTGCTTTAGGGTGTTTTGGAAAAAAATCAGAAGCACATTTGGGAACGATGTTTTGCTGTGAAAATGTCGAAAGCAGAAACATGCAAAACATGTTTGGTAAGTCATGTGCTTCAAGAAATTTGAAAACAAAACATGTTTGGTCATTCCAATTGTTACCAAAAAAAATATAAAACAGAAAAAAAAAAATGTTTGGTTATCATTGTTTTTAATTTGTTTTTATAAATTTAAGTGTATTTATAAATTTATTTCTATATAAATAGTCATCATATTTTTAATAGATGTGAAGAAATTTGAACACACAAACACACACACACACACACACACACACATATATATTAATTTTTGCAATAACCTATTTACAAGTTGTTCGCAATAACCTGCTTCAATTTTCTTATCCTATTACCTGTATAGTCCAACACAACATTAAAAATAAAAACAAAACCCAACTGCAAACATAAGTGGAATAAAGGGTAAACTATTTACAAGTGCTTAAATATTCAACAAACAAATTTATTAAACTTGCAAGTCATCTATTGCTTTTTTAGCCTTCTTAAAGTGATGAAATATAAGAATTAATACAAGTTGAAATATGCAAAGACAGCATTTGAAACACTAATTTGCAACCACCTATTTTATAATTATACCAAGGTAATAACATCAATGCTATGAAGGTAAATAATAACCACCTGTTCTAATATATATACTAACAACAAAGCTTTCAAGGTAAATAATCACTTGCAGACACTGTGGAGAGAGCAAAATGCATAATTCTAGTGAGCTATACAAATGAATATTACAAGAATGAAACAACTGAGTAGTGAAAATACATAATGCAAAATGCCATTTTTTAAGATTACAAAGATGATACAAGTGAGCTAGCCTCATTGATTACAAGGATGACGCTATAAATACAGAATGAAGATTACAAGGATGATACAGCTGAGCAGAATCCAGAATGCCATTTATAAGGTCTTTAGCTATGGAAATACAAGGATGAAAAACTTGGGATAGCATCCTTGATACACAACAATAGCAAAGACTTTTCTTCAACCAAAATGCATCATCTATCTTTAGAAACTTGCAGTATGATAGCTTTCTCAGTATTTTGAGAAGATAACCTCAAAATGAATTTGATCATAGCAGTCCCATTACACAGCAGCAACCATATGCAAAAGAGGAGCACAACAATATTACCCAATTGTCCACATAATGACAACAATGAATTATACCAAGTATAATAAATGCCACCATTTTGTAATATTCTCTTCCATTTTCACTGGTTATGAAGCATTTGAAAATTGCCATTAAATATTTGTGATTCACATATAATTTGAACAAGTATAAATAATTAATGAATAAAATCACAATGTTTGAGGTGGAATGATGAAACTAATGACACGATAATTCCTAAGTATTAAAAGATCAAACAAGAAAATACCCATAAGGCAACCTTAGAACCAACAGGTAATCTGATTGGCTGTCCCTTGAATTTGGATGGCCACAACCATAATTTACATGGCATTCAAATAGGCCCTCAATTTGTCTCCATTAGTACGCAGTATCGTCCCTTTATTACCTTGGCCATGTGGTGAATTATCCCATTAAATCTATGTCAATTACACTACACAATTCATATAAATAATTTCCAAATTAGCAAGAAAATTAAGTATTAGTGCTTCTATATTTCTCATTTTGTCTAATGTCTTCAAACTAAGATCAAGAGAATTGTCAGACTTTAAATCACTCTCAAGACCTGAAATTCCTAAATAACAACAAAACCACGGAGTTTCTGGTAGAAAGAGCATTAAATCTATTTTGTAGCAAAGATGGCACTATTTTGACTTCTATACAACAAATTTTCAGTATAATAATTTTTGATATGAAAGGCAACCGAACAACAATGACACTATGATAATTATCTTTAAGCATGCTTCACTTAAGAAATTCAATTACACCTTGAAATAAGCTTTTAGGGAAGCTCTTCACATTAGATGTTTTTATGTAATTTGTATTATACTTGTAGGTTTTCTTTGTTGTTTAATACATTAAATACCATTTAAGTAGGATTAAATAGATTAAAAAACTTAGTGGATAAATAGATTAAATTTTTTTGTTTATCTTATTGCAAATATTTTCTCAACAACCAAACAGAGAAATTTCCTAACACTTAAACAATAATTTCAACTCTTTTGAACTAATTTCAAGAACTCTTTTGGACTAATTTCAAGAATCAAGACTAACTCAGAAAAAAAAAAAAAACATATTAAACACGCTGGAAAATGGTAAGGCCTTAGGCTAACACACGCTTGGTTCGGAGTTTGGAGAGCTTGCCGTCGATGATGAGGGCATCGGCGTCGGCGGCGGTGGTTCCAGTGGAGACCTCGAGCAGAGAAGAAGGCAAGGAGAGATTTCCAAGTGATCGATGAGTTAATGAAATCGACGCCCTCTATTCACGAAGACAAAATTGAACAAATCGAAACCGAATAACACTTAAAAAAACATTAAATCAAACGTTTGGGTTTCAAAGACTTACACTACTATGAATTGAGCCTCTTCTTCGCATATCACAGGTCGCCTCCAAAATCGCCAAAGCTTAGGGCTTCATAGGAGAGAGAAATTTTCGGGCCAAATGAACTACAATATTTTAACTTTTGCTTTTATACGTGGGCCAAAATGTTGCAAGTAGTTTAATTTTGTTTCGACCGCTACAGTTGTGTTTGGCCCGCTACAGTTGTGAAACATGCAAAAACACCAATTTCTTGCTTCAATTTTTTGGCCTAATTTGTGAAATGTTTTGATACTATGTAAAACAATCCGCCCACTACCAAACATGTTGCAACCCACTTTTCAGCTACAGTACCCAACCTGCAACAAAAACACTAAAACAAAGTAGATAACAAACAGGCCCTGAACTTCATACATAAACACAAAATCTTCCAAATACCTTTCGCTCAACCTCACAAACCTTTGACCGAAGAAGAATTTGAAACTGGTGTAAGAAAATTTATCGAGATAAAAGGTATAAAATGACTAGGATGAACTGTTTCTATTTAGTTGCTCCAGGACTGGCCTAATATCACATGGAAAACAATCAAATAGAACATGGGAACTGGTGAGGCTATATCCTCATTCTGCTAAAAAGTTCAGTATTCTGTTAGTTTCTCTGATACATGATCAATTTTCTTGTAAATGCATTTTAATATCCTTCATTAAATTGATAGTTTTCTTATTGTAGGATGCTACTAAAGAACAATTAGAAAGCTACTGTATGTAGATGATGATAATGTTTAGACTGTTTGATTTAGGTAACTGCATAGAATCCCGGGAATATATTGTTACCCTACTGGTGGACCTACCTGCATCTATCATAATTTGAGCAATGTTATTCAGACCTAATAGTTTAACCTAACCGAAAGTTTCTTATCCATTTGATACATTGGATAAGATCAAAGTGGTGGCCTTATTCCATGCATCGAATAGATAAGACTTTCTCGGCTAGACTGTTTGGTTAGACTATTAGGTCTATGAGTCATTATCCGCCAAAACTTTTACCCCTCTATACGAGCTTCTAAGTATGAGTTAAGTAATGTTATTTCCACAGAGGAATCTTGGATGGCAATAAATGTGCCAATTCACTTATCTAGCTTGTGCATGTAGTACCTTTCAGAACAAGGGTTTTTCAAGCCAAAAAGCATTTGAAATTAAATTTGGCTTAAAATGTTTACTAGTATTTCCATAATTATGTTTAATAGTTTCTACCTCAAATGTTTTCTGGCCTGACTGAAAAAGCCTTTATGTGACTTTTGGCTTTTAAGGCTGAAATTCTTGTCTTCAATGTTTTGATCCCAAAGACTTTCTGATTTAGGCATACTCATTTGATGTGATTTACTAAAGTAGACATATTTGACTGTAAAAAAGAAAACTAAACTGAATGAGTATTATTAATTGTGAAATAACTGTGTTTAACTTTATAGGGTTAAAGATTATAATGATTATTGTCCATTATATTGATCCTCTGGTTGCTCTGTTATCCACCCTGTTTTTATCTGTGAAACAAAAGGGAAGAAAAACATTTGTTGAAAAGTGAAATGTAAATATTACCTTTTATAATAATTTATATATATATATATATATATATATAATCACACATAATTAGAATCTTTAAGGTGTAAAACATCAAGTTAAAGAATCATTAATTTATTGAGCTGAGCTGGAAAGATTAAGATTAAAGCTATTGAAATTAATTTAAGTTTTTTTTTTCTTATAAAACGAAAAGTCATACATATTTGGATGATGACTTCATGGTTGCTTTTAGTTGTCCAATTCAAGCATAAATAAACAATTGAAGTCATCAAAAGTTGAATAAATGCACCCCCAAAGGATTAACAATCATTACTTTCATAAATCTTGCATTAATGTCTAACGAATGCCACCAGGATTGGTGTCTCCTATCATGCCATTTGAACTGCCCCTCATACAATTTGTTTACATTTTGACAAATTTGAGCCATCCAATCACCACCCAATCCATTACACCCAACTAAGAAAAAACCACCCACCATCACTGTCCCAAAAATTATACTTTATTGCATACTAACCCATCCGAATTTATTTTGATAGGTACATTCAGACACATTCGTTTTTCGAATTACTTATTTACATAATTCTGATAGTCTTTTCACCCAACGATTTAATTAGGTGAATCATTAATCCAATTGAGGCTTTAATCCTTTTTTATTCGAAATCTTACTCTTTGCGCAAATTAAAATTTTCATTTTAGATTATAAAATAAAAAGATAAAGATTTTTTGGATCGGTTGTTCAAATAATCATATCATCAAGTCTTACAATTTATTGGGATCATTAAATATATCAAAACATGAAATTGATCGATAAATGTATTGAATAAAATTAATACATCAATCAATACTCTACTTTTTGTATTTATTATTGTGATAAAAAAAAAAAAATCTATTTGACTTATGTTCAACTTTGCTCTCACTAGATTAAATTTCTGGCTCCATTAGTATATATATTTGTCCCATTATTGGAAAGTTGCTACTATTTTTCTTCACAGTTTGTACAGAAAAGGGAAATAATTCCATATATTCAAACCCCATGAAAAGCATTGATTTATAAATGGTGTAAAGATGAAAAGCATCGATCAACCCATATGTTGTACTCGTAACAATTCATCATCACCATGCAAGCATGACCAAGTAATTTGGAAAATGATGAGTTCATCATAAAAATCAAGAACAAAAAGGTTGTTCTTTGGATATATAGACTTTATAAGACTTTGAGTGTTGACTATGATACCTTATTTTTCACGATGAGATGTCTTTTTTTATAAGATTACAAAAAATAATAATAATAATAATAAAATAAAAATAAAAATGTACAATTTTTCATTTTTATTCGTCCCAAAATAAGTGTTCTATATAAAAAGTCAATGTACTTATTTTTTTGTTTTTTTAGTATTATCAATTTAATCTTCTTGCATTGAACCTATAAAAAGTAAACCATCATATCATTATGGACCCACAAAGGGTAAAATTGATAATTCATTCACCACTAATGCAATTTAAAAACAATAAAGATCATTATCTTAAAAAGTTAGATTTTAAAAAGAAACACTTTTATTGGGAGAGAGGGAATATTTTGTACCAAAAATCATTTTCTTGATTTGGTAACAAGCGTGAAACTCCTATATGCTTGTGAAATTTGGAATTAATTTGTTAAATTAATATGATGTGACATTCCACGTGCCCAAAAAAAAAGTCGTTGATATTTGTGGATGTTTTTTTACTTATATAGATGCGTTCTATTAATATGATGTGACATTTCGCGTGCCCAAAAAAAAAGTCGCTGATATTTGTGGATGTTTTTTTACTTATATAGATGCATTCTTGAGTACAAAACAAACAATATCTACGAAATATAAATTGAATTCCAGATGCTAACAAATGAAACTAGAGTCAATTGAGGGTTAGAATGTTGAGCTACCGATCATTGTCAAATGCTAAAATCTAATGTCTCAAATATATATATATATATATATATATATATATATATATATTAGGCAACCAAGTCAGGCTACCAACAGCCACATATTACTTAATACATTATCCTATTTATATACATGTGTTTATATATAATGTGAATTTGTATTTATATCGAAATAGTAGTATTTTTTAGTGGTTCCATACCTAAATTTCCGCCATTGATGATGTTTGTTAATCTCAGGTCCCCCATTTCCGTCCAACAACCATATCTTGACCTTTGTTATCCCTGGCTAGCTCTGCCCCCTCCACGGCTATGGCGTGTTTGGTTAGGATTATCAACTCTTATACTTCTTTTGGAATTTAATTTGCTTTAAAAAATAAATACTCAAAGATTAGGTCAAATTTTTTTTTTTTTCATGTGCTTTCGTCACTTTTCTATCATTGAGAAAATATAATTAAAAATTCAAATTTGACGACTGGATTAAAGGTGGCAACTTAATAGTGTATTTTTTTTATTTTTTATTTTTTATTTTTTATTTTTTTTACCTTCCAAAATAAATGGTCGAAACTTCAAGCCTATTTTGATCTTCAAGCCTACGTGAGAATAATGTGAGTAACTTTCCTGCCAAGATTATATATATATGTGGAGAGAAAACAAATCCAGAAGACTTATTCAATGAAAATAATAATAATAATAAATAAATAATCGAAGGAAATAGAAGTAGACAACAGCAAAATTCAAATTTGAGATGTCCCAGATAGCTCAGTTGCTAGAATTGAATTGTCTTTAGATGTGAACTGTGAATGTTATTAAAATTTATAAGCTATCCTTGTGAAAATTGAACTCATTCTAGAATTGTAGATTTTTTCTTCTACCCATGTTTGTTAATTATCCAATAAATTACCATATAAAAGAAAAACGAAATTTTTAGGCACAATCCTTGTAACACAGTCTTTTGCTTGTATAAGAATTACAAATGTTTGAAAATTTGTGTGACTTGGGTCCATATCAATATATCACGTGTTCAAAAACATGCCAATGCATGATTCAATATCTACTCTTCACATGAGGAGATCCAAGATCATCCCCATAAAATAATGTGAGTGAGTGAGTTTAATGTCAGGATAATATATATATATATATATATATAGTATAAAAAATTAGTTAGGAATTAAGTCACACAATCCTTTTCAACGGGTGTCGCTCTTACACTCCCGCTCTCAAATTTGCTCTGACTCTCGCTTTATGTGATTTAGACCAAAAAAAAATGTCACACGTGCTTGGAAATGCGAGTGTTCTACTTCTAAAAGACCTCCTCGTGTGAAACCGATGGAATGTGCGTTCCAAGAACCTAATCAACAAAATTAAAGAATATTCATTGCTGACATAAAACCTGGGTGGGTATTGGTTGGCTTTTATGACCATACAATTCAACCATGCAACCTAACAAGTTTGAATAAAAGCACACCAAAAGGTATATCAAATTACTATCATATACAGTATATATATATATATATATATATTCACATTCAGAAGCTTCCTTACCGCGTTTTCTATCCCCATCTCCACCTAATGCCATTCTAGCCAGCACCATGCCGCTGAACCACCTCTGCTTCATTTTACCGGCAGATTTCGATGATCTTGAACCGTTTGATCGTCAACAACTCCATAAACCCATGAAGAAGGAATCCTCCCATCGCCATTGTGGGGCTCAGATTCTTGACATCTTTCGCCAATCACTTTACCGGTTTCTTGAATCGAAATGGTTTGTTTTCTGTCACCATGGTGCGCCCAAAAAACAACACTCGGGCGTCTTTCATGACATGCAAGGAGTTGAATTATCGGACAAGGTTGGTGGCGACAATCCGAGGATTTTCAGCTATGCTGAGCTTTACATAGGCTCAAATGGATTCAGTGAGGATGAAGTGCTTGGAAGTGGTGGATTTGGCAGGGTGTATAGAGCTGTTTTGCCAAGCGATGGAACGGTGGTCGCTGTCAAGTGCTTGGTGGAGAGAGGGGAGCGGTTTGAGAAGACCTTTGCGGCTGAGTTGGTGGCAGTGGCTCACCTCCGCCACCGGAACCTTGTCCGCCTGCGAGGATGGTGTGTTCATGAGGACCTGTTGCTTCTTGTTTATGACTACATGCCAAACCGCAGCCTTGACCGGGTACTTTTTCGGCGACCAGAGAATATGGGATCAGGGCCGCTCAGTTGGGAACGGAGAGAGAAGATAGTTAGAGGTTTGGCAGCTGCGCTGTTCTATCTCCATGAACAATTGGAGACTCAGATCATACACCGGGACGTGAAAACGAGCAATGTAATGCTTGACTCCCATTACAATGCCCGGCTTGGTGACTTTGGCCTGGCAAGGTGGCTTGAACATGAACTTGAGTATCAAACACCTTCAATGAAAAATCACCAATTTCGGTTGGCAGACACAACCAGAATTGGTGGCACAATTGGGTATTTGCCACCAGAAAGCTTCCAGAAAAGAAGTTTGGCCACCGCAAAATCTGATGTTTTCAGCTTTGGGATTGTTCTGCTGGAGGTTATTTCAGGACGGAGAGCAGTAGATCTCACATATCCAGATGATCAGATCATTTTGCTTGATTGGATCCGGGGGCTATCTGATGATGGCAAGCTTTTACGAGCAGGGGATACTCGTCTTCCTGATGGGTCTTACAAGCTTTCTGATATGGAACGTTTGATTCACCTGGGGCTCCTATGCACACTTCATGATCCGTGGTCACGGCCTAACATGAAATGGGTAGTGGAAGCACTCTCAGGCTCTATTTATGGCAAATTACCGGATCTTCCATCATTCCAATCACACCCTCTATACATCAATTTATCCTCCCAAACCAACACTAGCACTAGCAACACATCCAACATGAGGTCCAGCATCGCCACCAGCACCGCAACAACAGTTGCATTCAATTCATCCAACTTTGTCACAGCCAATGGAGAAACCATGTATGCAACTGCTGAATGCGGAGATGGTGATCATGCCAACTCTTCAGACAATGGCCGCCGCCGATCAAACACTTTCCCCCTGGTTGAAACTCCAAGAGTGATATCCTACAAGGAAATCATTTCTGCCACAAACAATTTCTCAGATTCTCAGAGGGTAGCAGAGCTGGACTTTGGAACCGCCTACCATGGTTTCCTTGACAACCGCCATCACATTATGGTGAAAAGGCTTGGTTTGAAGACATGCCCTGCACTCCGGGCACGCTTCTCAAATGAATTGCTGAATTTGGGAAGGCTCCGCCACAGAAATCTGGTACAACTGCGCGGATGGTGCACTGAACAAGGAGAGATGCTTGTTGTCTATGACTATTCAGCGAATCGCCTTTTGAGCCACCTGCTATTTCATCATGAGTGCAAGAATGAACATCCAATCCTGCAATGGCGTCGTCGATACAACATAATCAAATCGCTAGCTTCTGCCATTTGTTATCTCCATGAGGAATGGGATGAACAAGTTATCCATCGGAACATTACCTCTGCTGCTGTTATTCTTGATCCAGACATGAACCCAAGGCTCGGTTCCTTTGCTCTTGCAGAATTCCTGATACGGAATGAACATGGCCATCATGTGGTCATTGACAAGAATAAATCGATCCGTGGGATTTTCGGTTACATGTCCCCAGAATATCTAGAATCTGGTGAAGCAACTACATTGGCTGATATTTATAGCTTTGGTGTAGTGATGCTAGAGGTGGTTAGTGGACGGATGGCAGTTGACTTCCGCCTGCCTGAAGTGCTATTGGTAAAGCGACTCCATGAATTTGAGACACAAAAAAGACCATTTGAGGAATTGGCGGATCCGAAATTGAAAGGAGAGTATGATCATCAGGAACTGGTAAGGCTTCTGAAATTAGGAATAGCGTGCACACGCTCTAACCCAGATTTAAGACCAAGCATCAGGCAGATTATCAGAATACTCGATGGACATGACGGATGCTTCATGGAAGAAGGGCAAAAGAAGGAACGAAAGGAAGAATGGAAACAAAGAAATGCTTCTTCATTGTCACTGGTTAGGAGAATCCAAGCTCTAGGCATACAATGACCCAAGAAATAGAACAGCGAAATATAGATAGATATTGTATACTGTTTCTTTTACTGGTAACGTTTTTGAATTTTTTTTCCTTTAGTTCCTGGGAAGTCGTATATTATTTAGGTTTCTGGTGTTTATAGCGAAAGAGGAGCAGACCTCTGAATGTATCTTTTTAACTAAGAGTGAATCTTTGTAAATGTCCAAGTTTGCAAAATGTCAAAATCCATCACAAGTTTGGAGTATGATTTAGTCAAGGAAGAAATAACAGTTTCAAAGAGAAGAACACATTAACCAACTAAAACTGTAATTCAAGGAATGTTGAAATTTCAAAAATAATTCCACGGAATGTTCAGATTTCTACACGAAGGCGATATTTTGTTATGGTATACAGACACACACATATTCATCTAACCGAATAAAACTGTAATTCAAGGAATGTTGAAATTTCTACTAAAATTCAACGGAATGTTCAGATTCCTATGCAAAGGCAATATTTTGTATGATATACAGACAGACATGTATCTATCTAACCTTGTTTCTGACTTTGTCGTTGCTCCATTTTAAATTGCCCAGCACTCAATTTATCTTCTTTCGATGGGGATCTGATCATCGGCATCAATCCACACAATTAATCAAAGCAAAGAGGATCTCCATGAAGCTCTTCCAATTCCTGTCCAAATCCAATCCTTTTCTTCTACATTTATTTGCAAGCGAAGGTTAAAAGAATTTCAAAGAAATGCAACCATAAATTTACCGGCAGCAGTACGATAATTAAAGTAGCTAAATACTAAAACAAGTCTAGTGATGCAAGGGGTTTTCTCGTAAAGAAAAGCCTCGTTCAAAGCCTTGACCATGCCTTTATTGTTCAGCTTTTCACAGCCATTTTCATCAAGAAACAAGAATGCTTCAATTATAGTATAAAGGTGGCTTCAAGCTGTGATGAATTCATATTTCATGTCTGAAATGTACTCGAAGATCATCAAATAAATTGACGGCACATATTTACCAAACGAGTGAATTCTACAATATAGAAGAAAAAATATCAAGTTAATTGTGGATACAGCATGAGAAGAGATGGAAAGGTCCATTAGGAGATAAATTGGACATAGAATCACAGTGAACTCATTAAATCATATTCCCTCACTATTGTCCATGTCACATTAACAATATATCTATATATATATATACATATATCATCAATTTTCTTCTGTAAGATGAAAGTTGCAGTTTCTATAAGTGTCCTTGAGTTCCTCGCGATCAATAGCTTATTATTGGGAGCATGCAAACAAACATTGCAGAAAAAACCAGTTTGAAGCGGTTAATCCTTACTAAAAGTATTTTAAAGATGGGAAACTTGAAGAACATAAAAGCATCGTTGTCAAAACTCAAACTAACACTACTGGTAAAGTTTTTGAATTTTTCTTTTAGTTTCTGGGAAGTCGTATATTATTTAGGTTTTGGGTGTTTGTAGCGAGAGAGGAGCAGGCCTCTGAATGTATCTTTTTAACTATAGTGAAGCTTTGTAAATGTCCCAGTTTTAAAAATTCATCACACTGAACTGCTTTCCATCCACAAGGCAGGAAAGAAATAACAGTTTCAAGGAGAAGAAAACATTAAACTAAAACTATAATTCATGGAATGTTGAAATTTCTACTATAATTCAATGGAATGTTCAAATTTCTAAACAAAAGCGATTCTTTGTTATGATACAGACAGACGAGTATTCATCTAACCGAAGAAAACATTAAACAACTAAAACTGTAATTCAAGGAATGGTGAAATTCCTACTATAATTAAACAGAATGTTGAGATGTCTACACAGAACGTATTTGTTCTGATATACAGGCAGACATGTATCTATCTAACCTTGTTTCAGATTGTGTCGTTGCTCCAATTTAAATTGTCCAGCACTTGGTTTAACTTCTTTTCACAGGGATCTCATCATCAGCATCAATCCACAATTAATCAAAGCAAAGAGGATCTCCATGAAGCTGTTCCAATTCCTGTCCAAGTCCAGTCATTTTCTTCTACATTTATTTGTAAGATAAGGTCAAAAAAATTTCAAAGAAATATAACCATATATTTACTGGTAGCAGTACGGTATGTAAAGTACCTAATACTAGAACAAGTCTAGTGATGCATATGGGGGATTTCTCGCAAAGATAAGCCTCATTCAATGCCTTGACCATGTTTTTATTATTCACCTTTTTATAACCATTTTCATCAAGAAACAATAATGCTTCAATTATAGTATAAACGTGGCTTCAAGCTGTGATGAATCCATATTTCATGTCTCAAATGTACTCAAAGATCATCAAATAAATTGACAGCACATATTTACCAAACGATCAAGTTTATTGTGGATACCTGAGAAGAGATGGGAAGGTCCATTAGGAGATCCATTGGACAGAGAAGAACAATGAACTCATCAAATTGTATTCCTTCACTATTGTCCATGTCACATTAATAATATATATAGATATATAGATATATCATCAATTTTCTTCTATAAGATGAAAGTTGCAGTTTCTTCAAGTGTCCTTGAGTTCCTCGCGATCAATAGTTTATTATTGGGAGCACACACACACACAGTGAAAAAAAAAAAAAAAACCAGTTTGAAGCGATCGATCCTTACTTTAAGCATTTTAAAGACAGGAAAGTTGAAGAAAGGAAAAGCATCCTTGTCAAAACTCAACACTAACCCTACTGTTAAAATAAGCTTCGAAGCCTTTTCGTTCCCCTCTAAAAGATAGAAATCCCATGACCATGCTATTGATTAAGATCCAAAATTGTTATTTTCCCATGCACTACTTATCTAAATCTCCATCATTTTCCTTTCAAGCTTCATGTCCTTTAGGTAAATTTTGCCAATAGAGCATGCTTCCTAGTTCCTACTTTATTTATTTATTATTATTATTTTTTTTTTATAAGTAAATTTCATTGAAAGAGCGCTCAAGAGGGGAGTGCATCACGAAACAACTGCACAAAACCCCAAAAAAAAAAAATATATTATTTAAAATTTTAAAATAAATAATTAGTTAAAAACTATACCTTAAGACTATCCACAATGCCTCCAACTTTGTGCCTAAAAAAAATAAAAAATAAAAAGATCGTTTGTGTTCATATTCTCAATTTCACAATCTGTACAAAATAGATGAGCACAGAAAGCAGCAAAATTTAAACCAATTAACTAAAAATCAAATACAGGCATGCATGTAGCTCAGTAAATAACTAACCAAACAACGCAGCTCTATTAAAAAGATGGTCCGATTATGAATTTATTTATAAATCAATTGCCTGAAATCAAATGTTAAACACGTTGTGAAACCCTAATTGATTAGTTGCTACAATTAGCATTCCACTTCAGTCACATGAATCTTTAAATGAACAATTTACAACAATCTCATGAATTATTACGACAACAAACAGAGAAACAGAGACTTACCCAGTGAATCTTTCGTGGGTTTTTTGGCGCGAGAGCAGAGCAGCTAAAAGATCCCAACACACGTACAAATATATCACGTTTGTGTGTGTGTTTGAGAGCAAATAATACATAGAAAAGAAAATGGAAAACGAAATTATGGCTTTCAATTGTCCTACTCACTATAAGTTGGTAAACGTTCACTATTTTTAAGTTAAGATACAGCAATTTCATGGTAGGGGTAAAAATATTCTCTATAATTGCTCGTAAGATAGGAACGGTATATTTGCGGTGCACTGAGAGCCCGACAAACAAAGATGATCCGAAAATAAAAAAATAAATAATTACTGTATTATATAAAGCACAGTACAAATATCTGTACCGGAGATTTTTATGATGGTGTTTTGCTTTCTAAATAACATTATTTTAGAAGATTGTCAAGAAAAATTGTAGCTTTTGGCATGATTTTTGATGCACGATGCTCTTTGGGCGTTCAGAACCTATCCTCTGTTTGTTACGGACACAACTCCATTAGCCCCGTATATAAATTTTCTTCAAATAATTCAAAAACAATTAAATTTAAACATTCACACGTCTTAAACTTAATTTAAATAAGTCAGCCGGTCACCATTTGGTATCATTAAATAGCGACCTTGATTTGATGTCTGACACACAATTTTGACTGTAGAAAGAGTTGTGTTCAATTTACTATCAGTCAGAGAAAGAGTCGTTTCAATTCACCATGACAAAGCAAACAAATAGAAGAAATTCAAAGCAATAATGAGGATTTTTCAAGGATCAAACAGCAAAGTCACCAAAGTTAAATGACACTATATCACGCTTCATCTAACAAAATCAACTGCAGATAGAAAGGGTTCTTCTTCTTCGAGTTGGCAAATCAGAGGCATTTGCAGGGTTACTCTCGATATTGAGAGTATGGAACTCTAAGTTGAAGATGAAGGGCAATGCTATACCTATAACAATCTACAGTATTTTGCCTCGAACATTAAACAAGAAGTGTTAAGACAAAAAAAACATTATTATCTAAAAGACGTCATCAAAAATGCAGAAACTAATCATCAGTTGCAAATGAAGTAGGCAGAATCAGGGTCACATCTCTCTTTAAAAGGACATGTTCCTTTCACCGGATATCATCATTTCTTCACCAGGTCACAGTTCCTTTCACCGGATATCATCATTTCTTCACCAGGTCACATTTCCATACATCCGGGATGCAACAATCCGATCAAAGTTAAGTTCATCAGCACGACGGAGCAAAACAGGAGCTCTGCTTAAACTCAAAACAAAATATACAAACCAAAAAGATTAGAGCAGAAAACATAGAGAATTTACAAGTACAGAGAGAGGATGCTCAAAGTTTTTTAGATTCTCTGAAGTACGGAAAGAACTTCTGCATCATGCAAAATATTCAGAAATTATCGGGGGTTCTAAAGATGTGATTATCATAACACTCATCATTTTCACTTTATATCTGTACTGTAGTATCTCCCAATTGTTAGCAAACGTGCATCCGATCATAAAGAGCAGATCTAAGAAGTGATTACACAATCACAATCTAAGTAAAATCATGGTATAGTAAACATTTAGGTCACAGATTAAATTTTTCCTAATAACCTATGTTGTATCCAAATGTCCCACAAAGTAAATTTTAGCAGATGACATAATAACATATTGTTCACAACCAATATTTCTCCTCCCTGTGACTGAACTATATCATTGACAGTACTGACAGTGATACCGTTCACTTGTCTTCTATTGATTTTCATGGTTCTAATAGAATATCCATTGCATCCTATTAAGTCCATATCCCATTTGTCATGCATTTAGTCTCGATGTAGGAGAACATTTCACGCAATTATTGCACCACATGGTACAGAAATCCACTGCTTCAATTGCACATTTCAGTCTAAAATTAGCAGAATAGTCTGAAACTCGAGGTCCCTGAGGAAACCAAGCTTATTTACTCAGAGAAGCCCCAGAAAGAGGAGTTGTAAATCCTCAGACAGACTAAACACTATTGAATTCTAAGGTTACTTAATACTATGGTAGAATCACAAATCCTGAAGCCCAAACACCATATCAGTAGAGGGCATAGAGTGATAATTTGGAAGCCCGGAATGAGCAGCACATGGAAAATAGAGAGGAGAGAGCAGTTTTTAAAGCATATAGAAGACTCGTTGTAAAATGATATCAGTCCAGTGGACAGACACCAAACTGTCAATTATTGCAGGATGTATGTCTGGAAATTAATATATGAACCTCAAGATTTCAATCTTCGAGAGAAATATCAGATTGAAGTGACAAGCCTGATGGAAAGTATCTGGAGACAAATTACCATAGCAGCAATCCACCACCCTAAAGAAATATGTCTCAGAAAAAAAAACCGTAATCACAGGATTTGGGTCAATCCTCGAATGTAACCCATTAAACAGAACTGAAATTGGAAATAGTAAAGTCTCACAAGTTGAATTCCTTCGATATGCACACAAGACTTTTAATTTAAAATTTCAACAAAAATACAGCAAATATAGATGATAACAGCTTATGTTTTGGATACTTTGTTTAAGTGAAGGTATAACATAACAGACATTAGCAACTCATTCAACTTCCAACTGAGAATAAAAAATAGTACAAACATAAATATGGCAGTAAATTACTCACTTAAGTTCTATTCACTCAAGAAGATGGCAGTAGGATTTCCTGGGGATGGTGGATTTTGCCTTAGCAGTGACACATGGGGCCCAGCTCTATGAACTGCTTCAGGATCTGTTGCAGACAAAATTTCGATCCGTTCAAGACCTAGCTGCCGCTTGATCAACTCCAAATTTTCCTGGAGGACGGCAATCTCGCCAAAGGGTAGCTTCAGATCCAATGCCTGAACTCCAACAGCAAGAACCTCGTCCTTCTTAAACCTCAAGAAAGGCATACAAAGCTTTTGGACCTGCTTGAAATTGCCTTCCTGCCCGATTGCACTTTGCTGCAACCCTTCAAGGATCTCCTTGTCCGGTGCGAAACTAGAAGTTGTGGGGTCAAACTTACTAAGGAGTATGTTCAAGCATTCTTTTTTCCATCCATCATATTGCTCACTCACAAATATTAGGCCAATCGTTGGTTTGTTTTGATTACTTGATGCATTTACGTTACCTTTCTTTGAACCAGAAACTTGTTTCTGAAGCAACTTTCTCATCGAGACAATCGAGTCTTGCACATATTTGTTCGCTCTTTTAAGAGTAAGATCAGGTAAATCAGCTTCAGGCCAGCCTGCTTTGATGACAAACCCATCCTTCTTCAAAAGCTCCCTCCAAACATATTCAGCATAATGAGGGCAAATTGGAGTTATAAGCCTTGTCTGAACATCCATAAACCGCCACAGTAGTTGACGATTCATGCCCCCTGAGCCACAAGAAAACCTATACTCATCCCGAGCGGCCTGAAGATCATAGAACCCAGTTTTGAGAGCTTCCCGAAACATGAACTCATTGTAGTTCTTATCCGTCATTTTAACTGCAATATCCATCTCATTAGCAAATACACGGTCTGCATAGGTAGAAGGAGGACCATTTCTTAAAGATGACTCAGCAGCAAGAACCTCCTGCATCCATGATATCTCTTTTGTAAGACGTAAGATTGCAGCATTAGCCGTATCAAATACAAAGTTTGCATCATCCATTCCATCCCCTGCATCAGCAAGGGAGAACCTTGTGGCATCAGCAGAGAACTCCTCAATAGCTTGGCGTACTGTCCTGAAATTCCCCGTGGACTTGGACATCTTCTCGGAATTCAGCATAGTGTGCCCATTGCATCTGAACCCTCTAGGCCAGTGGCGCTTGGGTAGAAGTGCAGTATGGTTATAAATGCAGAAAGTGAGATGATTCTGAATAAGATCCTTCCCGGAAGTTCGGAGGTCAAATGGATACCAATATTCAAACTCCTGCTTCATCTTATTAAGAAGGGAAGAAGATATATCCGATGAATTGGGGTATGGTCCACCACAGAACAAGAAGTCCCAAACCTCGTCTGTAAGTTGCTCTGGTTTTACCGAAGAAGTATCAGAGCCATACATATCACCTCTCTGCAACAGATGAGAGACAGTATAATATGCCATGTAAAGAGTTGAATCAGATAAAGACTCCACAAGGAACTGCTCGTCCCAAGGAATGCGGGTCCCAAGTCCAAAATTACGAGAACAAGCCCACTGATTTAACCAGCCGAGTGTGTGCTCAAATCCATGCCGTGTCTCATCACAGTACAGATTCATGCTGGCCAAGCACTCCTCTGCATCCTTCTTCCAACTTGGTTCCCCATAAGTGATGTACCACTGATCAGTCAGAGCCACCACACATTCATCTCCTGATCTCGACATGACCTTCTTCTCAGGCTCACTATATATAACAGCTTGACCAAGATCAAGAAGCTTGGTCTTGATTAAATTCTTGGCTTCCTGGACTTTCATTCCTGCATATTCTCCAACAAGCATAACTCCCTCATAGAACCCTCCCTTGTAGACTATTTTCTTAGCTTCCTCAAGCTTCTCTCTTTCATTCTGGCTCTTAATCTTCATTTCTGTGCAAATTTTCTCAGCTGCCTTATCTCCATACTCTGGAGTGTTGATGATTGGTATGATCTCAAACGGCAAGACCCACTCATCCTTTATACCAAACTTGGCCCTGAAAGCTGGTTTTGATTTCAAATCATGAAGGGCCATGAAATCATCAGGGGAATCACTGGGAACACTAGTCACAATCCCAGTACCCTTATCAGTGAGAACTGACAGCATAGGTAGAGCGTATATAATCTCATTGAATGCTAAAGGAGATTTCAAAGGTAAACCAATGAGATCGTGGCCAGTCAGCTCAGCCAAACAAGTTGGCTTCTCTGGGACTCTGGACAGCTTCTGATATGCAAGATTAAGCGCTGCCCTCTCCGTCAAGATAAATACGTCTGTTTCATTTATTTCAAATGCTTTATATTTCCCGTCAGGCAACACCCACGCATTGGTTTGCCCAAACATCGTTTCCGGTCGTAAAGTCGCAGCTGCAAGATACACTTTTTTGCCTTCCAGATCTTGAAACTTTGGGGGAAAAGGTGGGACGAGCTCCATTTTTATCAGTGTGTACTCTTGAGGGTTGACACCTTCGCCTGAAGCCCGATCATGATCAGCACATGGCTGGCCATCTAAGGGTGAGTATATAGTGTACCTCAAGTCCTTGACAATTTTTCCCATTGCTTTCAATTTTCTCATTTGCCACTTAACGAATGAGTCAAAAAATGGATTCATGTCAGTAGTGACGAAGGAACGTCTCCAATCACAGCCTAAGCCAAATGCCTTAAGGTCTTCAACGGCCAAAGGGGGAAAATATGTCAGCCAGCAATATGGGTCCTGGAACTTTGCAATCTCATCATCGGAGAGGCCATAACTCCGCATAATCTCCCACTGGTACTTATCGCCACCAGATTTTGATACAGCTTTAGACTTTTTCCCTTTAAAATTTCCAGGTATTACCTGGCTTCCTCCACCTGCTTCAACTGATTCTGGTACCGAATCATTAATTTGCAGCTCTTCCATGGAAGGAAAAATGGGTGGATTGCCAAACTTTTGGCTTTCTCTTTTAAGTTTATCAGCTGAGGCCTTGATGGGCATTCCGGTACAGTGGAAACCAAAAGGCAAAAGCACATTGGCACCCCTTAATCTGTGATAAGCTGCACCAAATTCAAGTTTGGATAGTGAGAATGCATGGCCAAGGTGAAGGTAACCATTCATGTAAGGAAAAGGGAAGTTTCCAAAGAACTTCTCTCCCGGTTTAGGAGGTGCTTCTCGAGATTCAGCCCTGAAGACATCTCTCTCTTCCCACCATTTTTTAACCCGGGCCTCGATGTCCAAAAGTAGATCTCTCCTAGCAAAGCTCTTCCCACTCTCGGTGCTTAATGCCATATCCTCGGTAGCAAATTGACACAATCTGCAGGAAGATAGGAGAAGGATTAAGGTGGGACACACACATATAAATATATATATACGTCTCAGACTGAACAACATACATGCAGAGAATTATTCAGAGAACAGAAAAGAAACTACATGTTAAGAAAACTAAATAGAAGATAAATAGAAAAGTGTAAAGCCCACCTAGGCTTTTAGTTGTTTTGATTGATAATTTGATATTAGAAGGCTAAGTAGAAAAATAACACTTACAAGATATAACTACCTGAAGAAAACCCAAAATTTAATTTCTCGTTTTCAATTGCCCTTTATCAGACACCAAATAAATAATATCACACAGCACATGAATAAAATCTAACGACGGCAAAATAATTAAAAGGAAAAAAATTTGTGCTTTATATTCATTCAGGTCTGTCTGCTCAGATCTAATTATATTAATTAACACCGCAAAGAGGAAACCGACTCAGACAATTAGAGGATGGATTAACCATATAGAAATAATCGAACAAAAATAGAATATAAAAAAATAAAGAATTGATGGTAACATATGAATTGAATGTTACAAACAAGATTGAAAAAAACCAACAATAACAATTATTAATCAATGAATGAATGGTTGTTGTTACCTCAGATGACGATAGTTGGGGTGTTGTGATCTGAAAAGGAGGATGTCTCTCGGAATAATCTCAAACTGCTGTAGTACTCGTCTCTTCGTTAGCGACGACGCCACAATGAATCCACCTTTGGTTGTTCAATATCTTACTCTCTATATATGTATATGAACATGAATATATACATACATAGATACCCAAAATCAATCTTTGTGAAAGAGAGTGAAACTAGACATCCTATGAGGGAGATGCCCTCTCTGGTTGCAGTGCAGACGGACAGTGCGGCTTGTTGATAAAATGGTTTTAGGGTTTTGGTTTGGATACGTTATATATATAGAGAGAGAGAGAGAAGGAGCAGTGATATTATGTGGGTGGGTGTTTGGGAGTGCTTATTGATGGAAAGCACTTTTATTTTAAAAAATTGGAGTGTAAAATATTTTAAAAAATTGCAGTGTAAAATGTTTGGTGAATGCAGAGATTAGGGTTAAAAAGCGCGTTTATTTAAAGTTAAGAGTCATAGCTTTTAAAATTGCATTACGGCAGAGGTACTTGTTTTTAGGTAACTAATTTTGTTATAGACAATTTGATCCCTTTATATTTTTATTAATACAATTTTATCCCTTTTAGGCTTCTACAAACAAATAGTAACTAATGCGTGGGACTCTATAACAAACAAAGATTCAAGTTTATTTTGGAGCATAATAAACAAAATATGTGATATTTAAAAAATATGTAAACAAAATATGTGATCCTAGTTTATTTTGGACTCTGTAATAAATAATGCGTGGGACTTGGTAATAAACAAAATATGTGATATTTAAAAAATAAAAATAAAAAATACAAGTTCATCTTTATAAATCATTCAACTCTATGGAATTTTACAATATTTAATATTAGGAAATTATTATCTGTTTAATGTAAGGGCAATGTAGTAAAATTAGTAATAAAAGTGTTTTAAGCAATTTTATTACCAAATAATTTTAAAAGTGCTTAAGTATGAAAAGTGTTTTATATAATGTATCATCAAACGCTTAACTGCGTTTGACTGACAGCACTTTTATAACAACTCTACTATTAAAAGCACTTTTAACATTCTAACAGCAATCCCAAACTGGCTATATATCTAATCAAATTGGCCAAGTACAAAATTGCCACATAATATTTCTTTGTAAGTTAAAGATATTAAAAATAAATAAATATGGAGAGTAGCTTAAGAGATTTTGACGATCCATCTTGATTTTTCTACAGTGGTATTTTTCTCTCTCTCTGACTTAGGATTTTTCTACTTCTAGTACAAAATTGCGACATAATCTTTCTTTGTAAGTTAAAGATATTAACAATAAATAAATATGGAGAGTAGCTGAAGAGATTTTGACTATCCATCTTTGATTTTTCTACAGTGGTATATTCGTTTTCATTTTTTCTCTCTCTGACTTAGGATTTTCTTTTCCACTTTGTAAAATTGAAGAGAAAATAAAGAATTAAGAAGTCTCTATTGGTTCATAAAATCAAAGGGGTAAATACATATAAACGTATATGTTTATTTGAAGAGAAAAAAATAAATCTTAAAAAGATTAAAGGTATGTATTTATGTTTTTTTTAACGTATATTATATAATTTTAGGGATTTTATTAAAAAAAAATAATAAATTAAAGTTCATTATGAAGTGGAATGTATATAAGCAAAAAGTAATGCTTGAAGAGAAAACGATAAATCCTTCTTCTTCTTCTTTTTGTTTTTTTTTTTTTTTTTTGACTGCTGATACACACGCGTACGCATAAATGATGAAGAGAGTGTTTTATTAATGTTTAGGGATGATCTTTATCAACTAATTGTTGTGTTACTGCTAACACATAATCCTTATTAATCGAGTGTTGTGTTAATAAATTATTTACTACTGTCAGTCAACTATACATTAATTTAAAAAAAAAATCCATGTAAGTTTTAAGTATAGTGATGTATACGTACTACACATTCAGCATAATTGCATATCTATATAATATCTAGAGAAAAGTGCATAAAACCCCCTGAACTATGGGGTTTTGCAAGTTACCCCTCTAAATTACAAAAATCCCCTTGTACTTTAATTTTGTTGCAATTAAATCCACCAGGTTAATGGCCAGTGCCGAAAATTCTAAAAGACAATTATACCCTTAAAATAAACGACGTAGTTTCGAGTTTTCAACACCGTACTCCTCCTCCGACCTCAACCCCTTAGCCACCGCCATGCCATCGTTGTCGCCACAACATTTTTTCTCTCTACATTCTCTATTCCAATCCAGAGAGAGAGAAAACGATTACAAATTTACAAACAACATACTCTGATTCATTCACTCTCATCTGCAATTGAAATCACAAACAAACACGCACACACAAAACTGTAATTTATTGTAAATTATTCAAATGCATTGGCCTCCAAGAAGGCACGAAACAAGTAATTCAACTAAATCTGAGTTGTCGTCATCACTTTTGTGTGATTGTACCGATGGATCTGATGTTGAGAATTGGTGGGGTGGGGGAAGAAAAGGATTGGGGATTTCATGGTTCTAGGGTTTTAAGAAGAGGAGGCTACAGAGGAGACAATACAGCTACACTTCTCAACAAGCATGAGGAGTATTACGATATCGAGCAACAATGGGTTTGACAACAGCACCATCATCCTCGCCGAACTCACTACCGAGACAAGTTTCTCGTTGCCCACCTGTGCCACGCCTTTGCACCACCTGCCAGATCCGCCAGCCATGTCACACTTCTCTGCACCGTTACGCTAGCCCATCGCCTTGCCCGCCGTTCAGCCCGCCTTACTCGTCAGTCCATTCCATCGTCCGTTCCAAGCTCACCTGCCCATGCCGCCATTTCCATAGCCAAACCATCCATAGCCGAGCACACCGCCATCCGTGTTCCAAGCACACAGCCGTCCACAGTTCACTACCGAGCCCCTACGAGCTCGCCGCTGTAATACCCCTAATTTTGTAAAGGATATAATTGGAATTTACATTTTTTTTTTTTTTTTTTTGTGCATTTTAGGTGTTTACGTGACTATATGTGTTATGTGGTTTCTGTATTGTATTTAATTGGTTAATTGTTTTCTTTACTTGGATTGGTTGTGTAATTGATTATTTTGTTTTTGTCTAATTATTTGCATCAATTGGTTAATTGGTTTTTTTTTTTAATTTTCTTTTATTTAATTAAATTAGTTTTAAATTTTTAAATGTTTTGTTAGGTTAAATTATTAGTGTATTTCATTTTAATGTTAAATTAGGGTTTTAGTTTGATGGACCGCGTTATTGGGCTGATTAGGGTTTAGTTGGGTGTCCATCTCTAATGCAAATACACGTAGGGTATATATGCCTATATATACTGTTATAAGTCTGTTTAGGGTTAAAAGCACCAACCCTATTCACGAACAGTGAGCATATAGAGGGACGTGAAAACAGAGAGAGAAAACTATAAGGAAAACAGAGGGATTTGTTGTTAGGGTTTCGGCTGCGGATTAAAGGACAGGCCTAGGAGGAGGGAAGGTTGCACAATAGGAGATTGACAGTGAATTGGACGTCGTCGGAAAACCTAGAAAAACGGCGACAAGGTTTTTTTTCAAAAACCACAGAGGCAAGTTCTATTCTGTCTCTCTCTATTTGCCCTGTGTTCTGTGCACCTAGATAGTCTCTAGGGTTTAATTAATCATTAATTGAAACCATATATGTTCATTGTATGCTATATTTATGATCTGTGTGTGGTGAAATTAACTTTGTAATAATTCGCACATGTCTGTGTTTAAATTTTGTTCTTTAAGTATGCTAAATCAGTACAGTTGTAAATACTGGAATTGTTTGCAACCATTGAATACAAAATATCAGAATGCTACTGGGATTATATATAAAACTCATGGGGTCAGTGTTATCCTGTTTAAATATGTGTTGCAATTTATTCTGTTTCAGTTCATGCTTATTGAATTTCAGTGTTAATCTTTAAACATGTTTAATCAGTAGGTGTTCTAAGATTTTTCAATGATGCTAACTAGTGTAACTAATGGATTAAATGTTACTGGATACTCTTATGACCCTTAAGATTAGTTTTAAAACCCAACAGAAAAGTTGCAACTGGCCGAAGTTGAAGCAGGGGTCAGAAATGGAGTGCAGTTGAGTAGAGGACTCTCAGAGGAGGTGAGAGCCGGCTCTATGGAAGTGGGAGCCATCTCCCACACTCTTAAGGCTGGCTCTAAGGTCCCTAGAGCCTGCTCCCATGCACAAAGAGCCTGCTCCAAAATTTTTGGAGCAGACTCTCTCTCAAATTTTGTTTTCCAGTTACGTTTTGATGCACTGTTGAGACTGTTTGAAGGTGGAATTGTTCTAGGTAATTAATGGGACTTCACAGAGGGATTTAATGGGTGATTTGGGGTGTTATTAAGACCTTAAATTAATTTAAGTGATCTTTAGGTCAAGGGGACAAACAGTATATAATTAATGAACTTCTTATGCTGTTAACGGAGGGAAGACGGATTAATTGCTTAACTAAATTTTAGCAATTTAATGGGGTTGAGTATGTTTATAAAACTTAATTTTAAATGCATAAAAAGGTCATTTACTTATTAGTTTTGATCTATGCATACTCTGGATGCTAATTGTTGAAGTATTAAATCTTTTTCTGCAATTAGATGGATTATTGGTTGGATTTAAATTGCTGGAATGTTAAACACTGTTCTGCAATTATTTGGAATGGTTTGGACTGTAAATTGCTAAACTTTTATTTATATGTTGTAATTTACATGGTTTTGGATTTAAATTGCTGAAACACTAAATACTCTTCTGCAATTATTTGGAATGGTTTTGGACTGTAAATTACTAAAATATTACGTGTTTGTTGTAATTTACACGGATATGGAGGATTGTATGCACCGGTATGGGACGGTGACATACTAGGATGGCTTAGCTCAGAAACACTAAGATCTACCCTATTGGAATAAGGGAATGAATTATAAATAAATCTTACTTATATTTATGCTAAGTCAAAGAAGCTGCACAAGCTGAATGACTAGCTGAATTACTTGTTGTCTATGTTGAGTCAAAGAAGCTGCACAAGCTGAATGGCCAACTGGATTTCTTATGGATGGATAGGAACAAATTTTAAATATATGATTATGGTACCATGGGATGAGCTTGAGTCTCAGACTCGTTGGTTAGGGTGCGTATATGCAGTGGATGCGTAGCTGGTTATAGTAGGTTGAGGTGTACCCTGTTAGGTCTAGGTACTCATGCCCACCTTCGGGTGCGTTTTTGCATGTTGCCTTCTATTCAGGTTGAGACCCCCTACATAGTTTAGTGAATGTACCTTAGTGTGGATATT